TTATTTATTTATTTGAGAGAGAGAATGAGATAGAGCATGAGAGGGGGGAGGGTCAGAGGGAGAAGCAGACTCCCTGCTGAGCAGGGAGCCCGACGCGGGACTCAATCCTGGGACTCCAGGATCATGACCTGAGCCGAAGGCAGTCGCTTAACCAACTGAGCCACCCAGGCACCCATCCCTGGTTTTTTAGTATATTCAGAGTTGTGCAACCATCCCCACTAAGTCCAAAACATTTCATTGCCCCCAAAAGAAGCCCCACACCCATTAGCAATCACTCCCTCTTCCCCCTCCTCACCACCCCTGGGAGTGACTAATCTGCTTCTGTCTCCACAGATTTGCCTATTCCAGACATTTCATATAAATGAAATCATACAACATGTGGTCTTCTGTGTCTGGCTTCTTTCACTGAGCATCCTATTTTCAAGGTTGATCCATGTTGGGGCAAGAATCACGTCATCCTTCCTTTTTATGGCTGAATAATATTCCATTGTTTGGATATACCACATTTGGTTTATCTATTCACTCACTAGACATTTGTGTTGTTTTCATTTTTTGGCACTTATAAACAATGCTACTCTGAACATCAGTATACAAGCTTTTCTAGGGGCATACATTTTCACTTCATTCGGAGTAGAGTCGTTGGGTCATATGGTAAGTGTGTTTACCAGCCAGACTGTTTCCAAAGCTGCTGCACCATTTGGTGCATGAGGGTTCCAATTTCTCCACGTCCCTGCTGACACTTGCTACTGTCTGTCATTTATCGTAGCCTTGCTAATGGGTGTGAAGTGGGAGTTCACTACAGTTTTGATGTGCATTTCCTTAATGACTAAGGACACTGAACATCGTTTCAAGTGCTTATTGACCATTTAAGTATCTTTTCTGGAGAAATGTCTGTTTACAAGGTTTCTCGTTGGGATGATGAAAATGTTCTAAAATTACAGTAATGGTTGCATAACTCTGGAAAATACACTCAAAATCCCTGAACTGTCCCTATTAAGTGTGTGATCTTTATGGTATTTAAATTATGTCAATAAGGTGCTTTTAAAAGGCTAATGTGCATAATAATCATAGGGCAGGGAGGCAGTGGCAGAGACCTTTCAAAAGTACAGATCCTAAGTATCTAGTATCTAAGTATCCTAAGCCCAGAGAGGGATTCATTAGGTCTGGGAGGGAACCACAGCACCTGCATTTTTGACACACACCCTAGGCAACTCCGACCCAGACCTTCTGACCAAAGATCTCACTTTAACAAGGGCTGCTCTGGGTATCGGAGCCCAAGACTGTTTCTCGATAGGAAACCATTCTTGGAAGGGTAGAAGGCTCCAAAGAACGAGGAAAGACCAGTGTACACTAACGTCATTTTTAACACACATTTCAATGTGCTCTTTTCCCTTGTACTTTCTTGCATTTGACTCGCCTCTCATTCTGCTCAGGGCACCCCTGGGCTGGGATAAATAGCCTGAGATGAAGCCACTGGGGGTACGTATAGGGTACCTATAGGGCCCCCAAAGTTCCTGCTGTGCCCAGTGTGGGAGCGCGGGCTTCTTGAGGGCACTGGCAGACATACAGAGGCCCGTGACTGGGAAAAGGGCCGCAGAGTCTAGGGCCTTTGCAACTGAAGTTGGTGGCTGGCTATAAAGGGCTGGGACCACGGACATCAGTGGGACATCAGTGGGACTTCACTGGGCACACGCACAAAAGGGGCAGCAGACAACACAGAGGATCCAGAGATCAGAGTGGAAGGAAAGGCTTCTCCTGTGTGGGTTTGTGAACACGTGTGCGTAGCATGCATATATAACACACTTTCATATACATAAAGATATGTGTGTATATAATAGACATGTATATAAAACATACACAAAATATATGTATATTTACATATGCATATTTGCATATACAGCTGACTCGTGATGTGAATAATGTTACGACCCTACTACATACATAATTTATAGGGCATGTATGTGCATGAGCTCTCCAGAACAGAGTCACACTGGAGGACAATCAACATGAATAGCTATTCAGAAAATTTTAAAGCATTCTTAGTAACAGAGGAACACTGACTCTTTCTAGAAGACAAAAACGAGGCTCCAAGAAGTATGGCGAGCCGTCCCAGCCACAGTGGTGACCAGGGAAAGAACTGGGAGAAAGAGCCAGAGTTCTTCCCACCACCCCATGCTCTTGACGGGTCTCGACCTTCACTAGCCACTTGGTCCCAGGTTAACTGGCAACTCCACACAATAGCAGCAAACAGACTTTCTTTTTTAACTTGCATGTAAGTTCCCACCTGGGACACTGTTATGTAATAATAAGGAGCAGTCTTGAGAAGGGAATTCTCATTACAGACTGTGCACAGCTGGGGTTCCGGAAGCCAAACCACAGCCCTCCCTCGGGCCAATCACACCCTTCTAGGGAGCGATCTTAAGAGCCCCTGGCCTCATCCTAACCATGGCAGCATCTGATCATACATACTTGAAGACCATCCTCTTGATTTTTGCCTTCACTTCCTGTTGGGATGAAAACGAATCCAAGCGGAATTCCAGACGAGGAGCGGAACTGAACTGGAGTGCTCCCACTCTGACCTGCAGTAGGAGACAGAGGGCCCAGGGGTCTGAGAGCGAGGTCAAGTCACAAACATTCCTAAGGGACAAGAAAGGACGAGAAAGGTGAATGACCCTGCCTCCTGCCCACTCAACAAATACCAGTACCAAGGCTTTCTCCAGTGTCCCTGAAAGAAGGTTCCAAAGGCCAGGAGGAGCATCTGGAAGGAAACAGTGAATCTGCCTATGTGCCGTACTGACAACCACCAGTTCAAACTTCTCAGCCCACATTCTGGCAGCTCTCCCGGCTGGGCTGTGAGCATCTCTAGGGCAGGGTCTCTGGTCACACTTCCAAAGGCCTCCCAGGTGCAGGCACTGTTTTCAGCAATCTCATTATTTCATTTAACCCACAGAGCGCCATCAATACTCACGCAGCTGCTGGAGAAACTAAAACGCAGAGAGGACATGGATCTGGCCCAGGGCTAGTGAGAAGGGGAACCGGGCCGTTGGACTTTGTGCTTCCGGCGCTCACTAAGCCTCAGTTACATGACTTGCCTTCTTAGCCAGCGCGGGCCTGCAGCAGCATGCTGCCGACCCAGCCCCAGGGCGCCGCAGAAGTGAACGGGCGGTCCTTCCAGGCCTGCTCCTGCCACGCTGGGGAAAGGCCAGCTCTCCTGACCGGAGTCACACTGGAGGACATGCAACACTGGAGCTGAAGGGCCTCCGCAGGGGAAGGAGTCAGAGCCACGGGTGATTCCAAACAGACTTGGCCTCCTCATTCAGGAGGCCATTTGAAAAACTCCAACGCCTTCCAAAACCGGAGAAGGGAAACTGAATAAAGTCACTTTCTGGGCCCTTAGGACACTAGCCTATCTCGAGCAGAAAAGGCTATACACATTTAGGCCTCCTCTCGAGGGCCCACGCCCTGTACCCAATCATTGGCTCTCCAAAACCCCTGGAGAAACTGCATTCTCGCTACTATGCTCTTAACTAACCCCTATTCTGGCCAAGATTGCAAATAGGCCAAGTGATTCATATTTCAGCAATGAGGCTGCCTTTTACCTACTACTTGAACTCCTTCACTGCTGATCCCTGAACAGGCTTGGTGCTTTGGAGACCATCAAAGCGCTCAGCCCCACCAGGCCACCTGTGTCTGCTCCCAATGAGCACAGCCCAGCAGATCTTGCTTTAACAGGAAGTTCTAAGGAGGAGCTGGTGAGCATCTTCAGTAGAAAGAAATTTAAGTCTTGGGTGTGCGTGTGTGGAAGATGGACACTGGAAAACAGCAGTAGAGAAGCTCAGGAGATTCTGAGGAACAACCCTTTGGAAATCTCCTTTGAAGTCAGCTTGTGATCAAGGTGGCATCTCCAGTTAGTGGGGGAAAGATGGTCCAGTCAGTAAGTGATACTGGGACAACTGAACAGCCACCTACAAAATAGAGGATCAATCACAAATGGATTCAAGATTTACATGTGTAAGAATGTAACCATGAAAGTTCTAGAAGAAAACTTGAATGTCTTCATAACTTCAAAGTGGAAAAAGACCTTACTGTGCCTTGAAATCCAGAAGCCATAAAGGAAAAGGTTGATAAATCTGACTACATAAAGAAAAGTTCTGGGATGCCTGGGTGGCTCAGTTGGTTAAGCGTCTGCCTTCGGCTCAGGTCATGATCCCAGGGTCCTGGGATCGAGCCCCACATCAGGCTTTCTGCTCAGCGGGGATCCTGCTTCTCCCTCTCCCTCTGCTCCTCCCACTTCTTGTGCTCTCTCTCTCCCAAATAAATAAAATCTTTAAAAAAAAAAAAAGAAAAGTTCTGCAGGGCAAAACATGCCATAATGCATTAAAAAATGAAGACAAAACAAACGCCTGGGTGGCTCAGTCGTTAAGTGTCTGCCTTCAGCTCAGGTCATGATCCCAGGGTCCTGGGATCGAGCCCCACATCGGGCTCTCTGTTCAGCGGGGAGCCTGCTTCTCCCTCTCCCACTCCCCCCCTGCTTATGTTCCCTCTCTCGCTGTGTGTCTGTCAAATAAATAAATAAAATCTTAAAAAAAAAATGAAGACAAACAGAAACGTTGTTTGCAGCTCAAGTCAGAGGCACAGGGTTAGTTTTCCCAATATGTAAAGAGTGTCTAGGAATTCACATGTAAAAGACCAACAACACAATAGAAAAATGGGCAAAGTGATCACACAGGAAATACAAATGTCTCTTTAGTATGAGAAAAGATGCTTAACTGTACCACACAGAGATGTAGCAAAAAGCTAAATACAATGTTTGCAGGGGAAACTAGCAAGTTCTCAAACATTTCTGGTAAGAACATAAATGTTACTGCATCCATGGAGAGCACTTTGTCAAATATTATTGAAAGTTACAATTGCAGGGGCACCTGGGTGGCTCAGCATCTGCCTTCATCTCAGGTCATGATCCCGGGGTCCTGGGATAGAGTCCCGCATCGGGCTCCCTGCTAAGTGGGGAGTCTGCTTCTCCCTCTTCTCCCCCACCCCCGGCTCGTGCTCTCTCACTCTCTCTCTCAAATAAATAAATAATCTTAAAATAAAAAGTTACAATTACATAGGGAATTTATCCTACAGATATTCTTCTATATGTGTGATAATGGATTTATGAGCCTACAGTGTATTTGTAATATCAAATGTCTGTCAGTAAGGGATTGGTTAATTAATCCTCAGGAAATCCTTATGATGGAACGTTAGTAAGCTGTAAAAAATAATATAGATCTATATTAAGGCCAGGTTACCTATATACCTAGATATGGAAAGACTTCCAAGATAACATGAAGAGGAAAAGGCGAGGGATGGAACAGTGCATATAGCATGATATATCTCATATTGCTTTGTTTGCATGAAGCGATTCCGGAAGGATGCTCATGGAAGTAGGTAGGGACGGGGGCGCCTGGGTGGTGCAGTCGGTTACATGTCCGACTCCTGGGTTTCGGCTCTGGATGTGATCTCAGGGTCATGGGATTGAGCCCGGCATCGGGCCACATGCTCAGCATGGAGTACACTTGAGACTCACTCTTCCTCTCCCTCTGCCTCTCCCTACCAAGCGTGTGCGCACGCTCCCTCTCGCAAATAAATAAATAAATAAATAATAGATCTTTTTAAAAAAAGCAAGCAGATAGGAAAAGTGGGCAGATGGAAAATGTGAGTAGGGACACTTGGCATTGAATGTGTTTTAATTGAACCATGTGAATGATTACTTGGTTAAAAAACAGCTCCCTTGAGACCAGCAGCAGCTGAGTGTATTTACTCGAGTCAAACAGGAAGGCTACAACATCAAAACAAAACAAGATGGAAATAGCTTGAGTCAGTGGTTAAGGCATTTAATGTAATTGGTGGTTTGGGAGCAAAGCAGTTGCCTTTTATCTTCGGTTTACTGTATGCTCAGGAGCGAGCCTGCCCAGATTGCTCGCCGCTCTATAATCGCTCTGGTCTCTGCTGCAATCACTGTATTAGAGCCAGGAAGCGAACCTCTCGGCTTTTAATTGCTGGGAGGAAGGCTTCAAACACCTTCCATCCACCTCCACAATGAAGCATCCATGACAAGCCTTAACTTACAGCGACTTGAAAGCTAAAGTTTTAGAAAGTAAAATAAGGCGCAGATCCCTTGCACATGGAGGAATAAGGAGTCAGAGAAACGCAGCAGCAAAAGCAGAAAGCCTGAAGCACAAATCAGATCGAACCGTCTTCAACGGCTCTCCTGCAAACACCCTTTGCTAGCATCCCAGCAAGTCTGAGCGGCTCGAGGTCCACATGCTCACTCGCTCACTGAAACAGACCGCACCGCCAACCCCCTTGCTCAAAGAGTCTTGCTGCGAGAAAGTTTTTCTCAGGTCCAGCCCAAACAGAGCCCTCTGAATGCCCAGATTCTGTCTGAATGAAATACAGCCACTCTGCACCTTCTTTCACCTGAACGTGATAATCAGCTTCCCTCATCTATGGAAGTTTCCAGGGCTCTCACTGTTCTGGCTCCTTAGGGTGGGTACCGCCTGGTTTGCCAATTTCTAACCTAAAAATCAGCCTCTGGAACATAATGCCATATTTTAGATGTGGTCTGGCAACACCAGGTTTTAATTCCCTGAACTCTGGGGACCTGTGGTTGACTTGCACCAGCCCTGAAGTTTTCTTACCCTCTCGGCAGACGCTGAGTTCCATCAGCACCCACCCCTTACACACACACACACACACACTGCCACCATGCCAGCTATCCATTTGCCATGTGACAGGGTGTGACTTCTGAGGGTCACCTCCTTCTGACCCAGGAACCACCCACAGGGAGGGACAAGGGTCCTAATGGAACAGGTCCTGAGCTGAGCGGCTAGAGCCCCAATCCTTCCACACTTAGCTGTGTCCTCCGCTTACTGTGTGACCCCAGGCAGTTACTTAGCCTCTCTGAGCCTGTTTCTTCATCTGTAAAATGTTCACCAATAATCCACACAGCTCTTCTCTCCCAACCTACCATCCTCTGGGGCCTCCAGGCCACCCATTTCAGGACACGCACTACCTCAGTGCCAACATCAAACGTTCGATCTTTATGGCTCTTTCTCCATAAATAACTCATGAAACTTCATGGGGGAAATACCTCCCTTGAAAAGCAGGACCCTGTGCAGAAGGTGGGGACTCAGCAGTCCTTGGCCCCGGCCCTCGGAGGACCTGCGATGGCTTCACAGGTGGAACGTCCAGGCGGCTCAAGCCCAGATGGAATGGTTTCTGCTACGGTGTCTTTGGATGGCCGTGCCGGACGGCCTGCGGTCCAGGGCGATGTGCTCACTCTCCTCAAATTACCTGCCATTCTGGAGAAAATCTGGCTTTCATTAAAAGCCACTTTTGCTCTTCAGTCCTAGAGGTTTTTCTGGGATTAACCCAGGAATGTCATCTTAGAAAACCACTTCCTTCTGCAACCTGTTTGCAAGTAGTCTCTAATTCAAGTTAAGTATGGCTTCTCAGACCAAAACACCCTTCTTAGATTTTGATTTTTGAGTAGGTTCACATGGTTCAAAACCCATCAAGTATAAAAAAAAGTAAAACGGATGAGTCTCCTCCTGGATTTGCACCCCATCTGCTCAGTTCCTGGCCTCGCTCTCGACAGCAGATCACTGCTCTTAGCCTCTTTACAGATCTCTCCAAGTACAAACATAGACTTTTTACCGCCCTTTTTCATAAAAAGTAACACATTACATATACCATTTACCATACACCTTTTCACTCTCATCTGGGTTGAGGCCCCTCCATCCAAGAGAGCTTCCCCATTCACTTTCTACAGCTGCCCCGTGTTTCCCTTATGAATGCACCCTAATGAATTCACCTGTCCCCTGTGAATGGGTGTTTGGATTACCTGAAATCTTTTACGATCGTAAACAACTCTGCAAGGAGTAACTGTGTGGTATTTTACATCTGTGGGAGTATCTGCAGAATAAATTCCTTGGGGTGGAATTCTTGAGTCACAGGGCCCAGGCCTTTGTAATTCGGACAGACGCTGCCAGATTCCCTTCCTAGAGGTTGCACCAGGTTATACTCCCACCATCAGTGCAAACCCATTTCTACAGATCTGCCACCGGGGCAAGTCACCAAACTGGATTTTTGCTAATCCAGTAGGTGAAAATGGTATTTCGGTGGGAGTTGTGCTGTTACAGTGGGTGAGGCTGCCTAAGGGCCATTTGTGTTTCAATTTCTGGGAACTGTGTTCGTTGCCCATTTTTCTACTGGGTTGTCCCAAGATGCCCCTTTTAGCAGCGAGAGCCACAGTCAGCACAATCTGCTGCTATTTAAGAACGGCTCTCCAGAGCCAGGAAGAGCAAGAAATGAAGAAACTGGCTGGATTCACTCAGGCAGGAGGAGCTCCTCTCAAGTGAACATACGGGGTAAGAGCTGCACTTCATATTGAGACTGGTCTTCCGAGGTAGAGTTTTTGTCTGTCAGTATGCTTTCCCTTTTCCACTGTTCCATGAACACCTCTCCCTAGTGGGGAACCGAGAACGTGGATCAGCCCATGACTCACACTTGGCCAGATCCTCTTTCCCCTCTGACTACGGGGATTGGTCAAGGGATTGTCATGTGACCTACACCTGCCCAGTGGGAGCCCTCCCTGGGACCTTCTGCCACGTGTTGAGGGAGAGAAACCCACTTTCTTTTAACTGGGATCACGGGCTTGAGGGGCAGTGCGGGGCAAATTTTCCATGTAAGGAAAGCCTGCGTGGGAAGGAAGCCAACCAAGGAACACAAAACTGACGGAATGAGCCCTTAGATCCTGCCATGCCTAGAACCAGGACCCACCCCCTTGGTCTTCCTGTTCCACGAGCCAGTGAATGTCCTCTTCTTTTTTTTAAAGAGTTATTTATTTATTATTTGAGAGAGAGAGAAAGAGAGAGTGTGGGCACTCGCGAGCCGGGGAAGGGGCAGAGGGAGAGGGAGAATCCCCAGCCCCCGAGGCGGGCTCAGTCTCTGATCCTGAGACCGCGACTCAAGCGGATGCCCAGCCCACTGGGCCACCCAGGCGCCCCGTAAATGTCCTCTTCTGCTTAGAACTGGATTTCTGTCACTTGCAACCAAAGATGCCCTAATACAAAGATGACAAGACTTGCACTCACCCTCTCAGGGTTGATGTCCAGAGCGTCACAGACCATGATGGCAAAGTGCTTAGACCTTTCAAAGCTCCCCTTCCCGACACTGTGCGATCCGTCTATCAGAAACAGGACGTCCACTGCTGCCGAGCACTGAATCACTAGGGGAGAGCGGAACACAGTGGGTGACAGCCCGCTTCCCTGCCCTCTGGTCCCCAGAGGGTCTCCCTCCTGAAGCGGAGTGGAGGCAGAAACAACCCTGGGGTGGATCAGGTTGCTGCTCTTCTTAGCACATGGGTGAAAACACCACAGGAGAAGGTCCCAGCCAGAGGCGCTCTCCTCTGCAGCAGGAAGTACACTCCCCCGCCCGCCCCCCACAGTGGGCACAAAGCTCACCAACAGGCCCTTGTGTGGAAGTCTTTGTAATACTGGAGGAGTCTAACTCAACAACGCGAATGGAGTCCTAAGAGGACAGGCTACTGGGCCAGTGAGGGATACCGAAGAGCCTTGGTCCCAGCCCTTGGGGGCCACGATCTAGTCCAGGATCCAGCCAGATACCCTGGTGCATGAGGCTGCATGACCCCAGAGTTCAAGTGAGGATAGCACTGACTGTGCCTTCCCTACATGCCATGCACTGTCTCCGACACTTTATATGTGCTAATTCTTATAACCACCCTAAGATAGCTATTTTTTAATTTTTTAACAGGTTTATTGAGATACAATTCACATACGAAAGAATTCATCCATTTAAAGTATACAATTCAGGGGGCACTGGGTGGCTCGGTTAAACATCTTGATTTGAGCTCCAATCATGATCTCAGGGCTGTTGAGACCGGGCCCCGTGCTGGGCTCTGCTCTGAGTGTGGAGCCCGCTTGGGATGCTCTCTCTCCCTCTCCCTCTGCCCCTCCCCAACTCATGCACGCATTCTCTCCAAAAAAAAAAAAAAAATTAATTAAAAAAATAATAGAGTAAAATATATAATTCAGTGGCTTTTAGTATATTCACAGATACATTCCATCCTTGCCACAGTCATATTAGGACATTTTCCATCACCTCAAAAAGAAACCCTAGACCCTTTAGCGATCAGCTCCCTAGCTCCCCACCCCACCCCTAAATAGATGTATGGTTTTTACTCCCAGTGGAGAGATGAGGAAGAAGGACACAGGGCAATTCAGTAACCTTCCTAAGGCCAAAGTACGAGTAAGCGGTGGAGCTGGGAAGCAAACTCAGGCTGTCTAGCTACAGAATCCACATCCCACCACCTCACCGTCAGGATGTAGGAGAGTGGAAGTCAGAGAAGCACCAGCGAGAAGGCACCACCCAGAAGGCAGTGACTGAGGGGGATTTCACGGGAGAGGGAGGAAGGGACACGCAGGGTCTCTGGGAACAGGCTGGGGTGGCTTGAGCAGGTGGAGTGGATGCTGAAAAGGGTGGAAGACGAAGGAACATGGAGGGAGATGAGGCTGGTTGGGGAGACGGTGGTCACATAGCAGAGGACTCCCGAGCAACACCAAGAAATTCAGCAACAAGGATTTACCCAAGGTTTTCACCCAGGATGGAGACCTAGGTCAGGCCTGTTGGGGAAAAATGACTCTGGCCACAGTGTGAAAGGAAGATGGGAGTGGGGCAGGAACATTCTGGAGTCAGGCAGAGGCCAACATGGGGGTCTAGAAGGTTGACTGACACATAGGCTTACTTTTGTTAGCCGCTGAAATCTTCCCAATGGTCTCCCTGCTTACGTGGACTTCCTGAAGAGGATGAGACTGGCGTACTAGGAGAGAAGACACCAAAAGCAGTCATCACAAAGCAGAGAGGGGAGGAGTCTTTGTCCACATTATGTGACCAGAACCAATAGGTAGTGAAAGGGAAAACTGGAATGTGGAGGAATTTAAGGACGTTGCATCTCAAAAATCACCAGAAACCCCTCCAATTGCTTCATCAGGTATCTTTGTATTTAAATTTGGGTATTTTGAAGCAAAAAATTAAAAATATACATAGAGGGGGATTCAGAGAGCCTGTGATTCTGATGAGTTTTGCCCCTGGTTAGGCATAACAACTGGGTGCCTCTCCGGAGTGCAGCACCTTGCCATAAAAATTAACCTTGGATATAAACATACAATTCACAGACAAGCACAAGGGAAAATGTCTGAACAGGTGACAAAATGTTTTTAACCCAAACAATAAGATACCCTTTTAACTGCGAAATTAAATGACCAGCTTCTTCATTTAAATGTAAATGGGGAAAGATCAAAGCAGGAAAAACCTTCCCAGTGGTGGCCCTGAAAACTGGTAGAACCCTTTTAGAAAACAATTTGGCCAAATGAATGAAGAGTCATAAAGCAGCTTCCAGCCTTTGCCCCTGTGGTGTGGCACCTGGGGAAGGGATTCGAAGGAAGAACAATTTTAGAGAAGGGAAAAGGTACATCAGGACTCTCCTTTCAGGGTTACTTGTGATGGAGGAATGGTGGAGATAACAAATATCCAGAAAGACAGGGCTAGGAGTAAACGCTGATAAATTTGTTCAGTGCAATTAATATGAACAAGGGCTAAGAAGTTTTCGGATAGGAAGTTCGTGAATGTATCTTTCATTCTCCTATATGATGTCCAGTAAAATGGTAGTGATGGTACGTTTAAAAAGTAAACTCTTGAGAGCAGGGGTAACATGCCAAGGAAGCCCCAGACTGCTGAACACGAGCCAATCGTGATGGAAGTCCTAAAGGCCATGAGGGCGCCACCTGGAAGGCTATTCTGAAAAGCCAAGTGCACTCGATTGATGGCTACCGGCAGAAGTCCACGCGCAGAAGCTTTATAAATATCCACGGGCGGTGGGTAAGCACGGAGGAAATACAGTGAGGTGGGCAGAGCAGGGGAGCAGGCCAGGCAGGGGGCAGATGAAGGAATGTGGGGGGGGGCTGTTGGGAAAGGGGGTAACGGGGAGTGGGGGCGGGGAATCATGCCAGGCAGGTACGTTGGGCCCAAGGGGATCTGTGACTGCCAGGAAAGTCATTAGGAGGGAGAAACCAAAGGAAAAAGTCAGGGTCTGGGGTGGGGATGCCTCTTGCTTGCAACACACACCCCCTTAGTCAGCCACCCCCTGGGCTCGCCCCAGCCCCATCTTCTCTGGCTCCTCTCCACTCACTACTCGCCAGTGCAAACTAACGTAGCTCCCAGTTCTCCCCACCTAACCTTCCAGCGGATGGTTTCTGCTCACCGGATAGGCCCTTCCCTCAATCTTGACTCACAGAGGATGGTTCTTGGCCAAAATGCTGAACCAGCCATTAGCCCCGCAGACAAGAGTATGGGACAAAAATCTGACCATCTGCCACTGCGGTTTTGCCACCAGAGGTAGAAACAAGACAAACTACAAATAAAGACCGCAGACTGGGTTTGCAGGGAGAAAAAGACCCTTCCACTCGCATAAAAAATGGCATGTTGGGACAGAGGCTGGGCAATGGTTCAAAACCCGAAAATTCACTCAATAATTCAGCAAATTGGTCTTCCAGAACACAGAGGCTCTCTGCTTCACTGCGTTCCGAGAGCAAGGTCTTGCCGACCCGTGCGGCCGGCTGCCCCCGCCCATCATGCTGAGCTGCTCCCATCGGCCCAGCTGCTCTAGAAGCTCCCGGGGGCAGGAACATCTCCAGCCAGCCTCTCAAAGCCTAGTCCAGCCCTCTGTGCACCGCACGTAAGCACTAAGGTTTCCTGAGTAAGCCCATGGAGGACTAAGAAGGGCCCAGGAGCCAAGGAATCTCCAAAGCCCTACCAAAAAACCCCAGAAAAACACTGGTCCTTTTTACAAGTCTCACCAGCAAATTCCCCAGCTGGAGACAGGCCAGCAGCCTCCCCCTGAGGGGAAGGCTGGGACCAGAAACCACTCACTAAAGATGTCACTCAGCGAATGTGTCTTTCTATACCGTGTGCTCAGCTGTTAACGGCAGGTGCCAGGCTTCAGATGAGCCCTCCTTTTGCCTTAGGTGACGTCCCCTCTGCTCCCCTACAAGGTCACCTCAGGATGGTGCAGAGCTTCCCCTACAGAACAGGGAGCTGATGAATGTGTGACTGTTGGTTCCTCCTCTGGGTGGGGCTAAGGAGTGGGCAGGGTGAGAATCACTAATCTAGTCAAACCCTTTCACTTTACAGATAAGAGAGCAGAGGCCTAGTCAGATGATTCCTGTACTTTCTCCTCCCTCAGAGGAGCCCCCAGTGGTGAGGCCAGCCCAGAAGTCAGAAGACAACAGCTGTGCGACCCTGGGCAAGTCACAAGCCTCACCGGGCCTCCCCTGCCTCATCCGTCCAACCCAGGAATGGTCAGGTCAAGTGCTCTGTAAACTGGACAGGGCTACAGAAGGCGAAGTTCTGCAATGAGCTAGAGCAGAACCCGGGCTGTGCCCGAGCCTCCGGGGACCTCCTTCAGGTCTTGTCCCCAAACATATCTCATTGCTCCTCAGTCCCCGGACCACGAAGCTACTATGTTACACCATCTACCCACATGGCTTAGAGAGGGGGGCTAGGGGGGCTGAGCAACCACCCACCTTCTTCCAGCCTCTCTTATCTCCCCAGGCGCCAGGGAACAGGCAGGTGGCGGCAGGATTCAACACAGCGGAGGCTCACAGACCACAAGAGGATCCTGAGCTAGACTTGGGCGGCCGGACACCCTGTCCACTTGTTCTTACTTGTAGGACAGCAACCTGCAAGACACTCTGTTTCCTTTCTACCACCTCATTTTAACAAGGCTAGAATTTGGGAGAGGAGTAAAAACAGAGTTGATTTTCTCCGTTATTCGTTCATCTATGCACTTCTGGAACACTTCTGTGTGCCAGGCCTGGTGCTGGGCGCCAAGATTATAGAGTGGTGAATACACAATATGTAGGATCTCTTTCTTGTGGAGCTTCTATCTGGTACAGAAGATGGACGCTAAGTTTTTAAAAATTCACACACAAGTACTACATAGCAGAGGTGCCTGGGGCTACAGGTATTAAGGGCACTGACCTCACCTGGGGGACCTGGAGGAGCTGTGCTGGCTGCTGACGGATGAGTAGGAGTTTACCAGGGTGGCAGTGTTGTGTGAGGGGGTGATCTAGGCAGAGGGGTCACCTGTGAGAACCCCTACGCAGGGAGGGAGCAAGGGGGCTGGGCGGGATTTGGAGGAATGTCGGCTTTGGCGCAGAGAGAGAGAGTACCAAGAGGGCACTTTGAGGCCTGAGGTCTGATAAGCAAGGTCTCTTTTTTTTTTTTTTTAAAGATTTTATTTATTTATTTGAGACAGAGAGAATGAGAGAGAGAGAGCACATGAGAGGGGGGAGGGTCAGAGGGAGAAGCAGGCTCCCCGCTGAGCAGGGAGCCTGATGCGGGACTCGATCCCGGGACTCCAGGATCATGACCTGAGCCGAAGGCAGTCGCTTAACCAACTGAGCCACCCAGGCGCCCGTGATAAGCAAGGTCTCTTAAGAGCAATGAGGTATCATTTAAAAATTTTAGGCAGGGCGCCTGGGTGGCTCAGTTGGTTAAGCGACTGCCTTCGGCTCAGGTCATGATCCTGGAGTCCCGGGATCGAGTCCCGCATCAGGCTCCCTGCTCAGCGGGGAGCCTGCTTCTCCCTCTGACCCTCCCCCCTCTCATGTGCTCTCTTATTCTCTCTCTCTCAAAAAAATAAATAAAATCTTTAAAAAAAAAAAAAATTTTAGGCAAGGGGCGCCTGGGTGGCTCAGGCAGTTAAGCAGCTGCCTTCTGTTCAGGTCATGATCTCAGGTCCTGAGATCGAGCCCCACATTGGGCTCCCTGCTCAGCAGGGAGCCTGCTTCTCCCTCTCCCTCTGAGCCTCCCGGCGGCTCACTCTCGAACGCTCTCTCTCTCAAGTAAATTAAAAAAAAATCTAGGCAGGGGGTAGGGGTGGAGAGGGGTCCCGGCATGACCAGATTTGCATTGGTTTTTTTTTTTTAAGATTTATTTTTTTATTTCAGAGAGAGCTTGGGGGTGGGCAGAGGGCAGAGGGAGAGGGAGAGAGAGAATCTCCAGCAGATTTCCCACTGAGTGCGGAGCCCAATGTGGGGCTCAATCTCACGAAACTGAAATGACCTCAGGCAAAATCAAGAATCAGACACCTAGCCAACTGAGCTGCCCAGCACCCCAGATTTGCATTTTGAAATGACTGTTCTGTGCACAATGGGCTGGAGCAGAACCAGGTGGACCCAGGGAGACCAATCAGGAGACTACTGCAGTGGTCCAAGCATGAGATGATAGGGCTCACACTAGGCAGGTGGCCATGGAGTAGAGAGTTGCAGATGTATTTGAGAGACCGTTAGAAGTTAAAATTGACATGATGTGAAGCAAACCAAACCCCTCAACACCTTACCCCTGACCAAAAATGCTTACCTCCAGAAAACAGGAAAATGAAGAGGACTTCCAGCAACAGGAAAGAGGGCATGTTGATATAACTATAGGGCAGGACAGGAAAAAAAGCATCAGCAATTAACCCTGTGTACCCCAAGTCACCCCCAAATGAGAAGAAAACTACTCAGCCTTTTTGAGGGCACAAAGATGACCCTAGAGGCTCCTCCTTGCCATAATAAGCTTATTAGCCAGAAAAACACCCAAACTCCCTAAAAGTCATGGGAGACTTTGCTCCAATGACTTTGTTTCAAAGGATGGTCTAACATCTTTCCCGGACACCCATCCCCCCACCCCCACAGCTCCTTCACAGACTCCAGGAAGGTATGCTCTGCCCGAGGTTAAGAGTCCTGGGTCCTAGTTTGGCCAGGCCCTGACAAGCCACATGACCTTGAGTAAAGTCCCTCCTTCTCAGTGCCTCCATTTCTTATGAGGAGTTAGAATCAGAGAGATTGAAGATTTGATTTCTAATATCCTCATTTTCTGAAACCTTCTAGCAAGGTCTGGAAGCCTACACTTTCCAAATTATTTATAAAAAGTAATGTGCAACAAAAGTGTTTTTTTTAAATTATTATTGCCTAATCATGTTTATAGTATAGATAATATTCAGTTACATGGGGCCTGATAACAATTTTTGAGGGAGATAAGGGTGGAAAGTAAGAGCTTTTAGTAAGAACGATAGACTGTAATTTGATTGTATAAGAGCACATACATGAGATATACTTCTAATTTTAGCTGTGAGGCCCAGGAAATAGATCATTCATTATCTTTTCAACCACAAAGATATGATGTACAATTCAGACGGTTACATTTTAGCAAGTGTACTCGCAAGTAATATAAGAGCTGAAAGGGATCATACAGAATGAAATTTATAGACTTTTCCCCCCCAGTATAAGTTAGCAGGGAGAAATCTAAAAATATCTGAACAATAGGTTCTAGAAATTTTATTTTTTGCCTTTTGGGATCCAGTACTTATTCAAGGTCTTACCCTCCACATTACATTTGCCCATTAGAAAAAAAAAGACAGCCACAGGTAGGTCTTACTGAAGTTTCCTTCTGTTAAACACATAATGTTGACAGTCACTCAGGGGACAATTCCAAAGAGAAAATCCCAGACAGAGACATTGATAGGGAAACACTGCAGGGAACCCGCCCCGCCCCCCAGGTTCCAGAGAAGAGAGCAGAAGGCAAGGTGCTCGGTACAGCATGGGGTACCCAGGGGTGCAGCCCAGAGAAACTCACTTCCGCCTGATGCACCCAAATCAGAAAGTCCCTGTAATGTCTTAAGTAAACAACGCTCTCCTGCATTCCTGCATCTAAGAACGTGGAGGAAGGGCCAAGTTTTCATTTATGTATCTTGGGTCTTCGGATCACCCCCACCCCCCCATCTCCACTGGCGGATGTCATTTCTCCAAAACGCGGGGTGGGAGTTTCCTGCTCATCCTCAGCAGCTCACCAAATGCCTTTAAGGTAACCAGCACTAAAATGAATTCTGTTGTCAAACACCCTCCACTCTCTGCCAGGACATTAAGAACACATCTCCCAGCTGCAGCAACAAAACAGAACTTGACTCCTCATTCAGAGGATTCTGAGCAGGCTGGGGAGCAAGGGCCGCATTGGAAATCTGGAGTTCCCCAAGAAATACAGATGCTTTTGCAGGAAAGTTTAAAATGAAAGTCTCTGTGCCTCAAATGACCGTGAGGCTCACATCTTCACCTAACCTAAGTGGCCAGTGGAGAGTGACTATTACAAGAGCGAGAAAGTCAGGAGCTTTCGCAGAGGGGAAGATGGACAGAGAGGATACGGGACGGTGGGGCCGACATGGCTCCTGTTAGCTTCCAGGCCAGCACATGCCAGCAAGACAGACCTTCTCTTCCCCCAAAGACACCTTTTCTTTCCTCTCACTCCATACAACCGATGAAGGACGAGTTCCCACCTGCCACCCGTGAGCCAGGTAAGGGTAAGGCATGGGGACAAGGGGCAGTGCAATGCCATCTCGTCCTTGGTTAGACTCAGGATGATTTTCTGGGGTCACAGCTTCTGACCCTGGGCACGTGCAGGACTCTGAGGCTTATCAATTTTTTTTTTTTAGAAAATTAGGAGGACACAGTGGAAGAAGTATAGAAGGTTCCTACCACATAGGAAGGCACTCAGGAAACATGGGGTCCCCTCCCTCTGCTAGGAGACAAACCAAAGCCACTCCATCTCGCTCTCTTATGTGCCTCTGCATGCCCAGGTGAATGTTTTCCAGAGTCTTCTAAGTTTCTGCTCATTAAAACAAAATTGATGTTGGCAATCTGCAAATCAACGCAAGAAATCAGATGCCTCCTGATAAGTGTGCAGACCAGATGGGGCTGGCTCTGGGACCTCAGCGATGCTTCCCAACCCTGTGCCCACAGCACGGCCCTTCCTGTCACGCAGCCCACACCAAAACTGCTTGCTGATGCGTGTATCTCGCCTGCCAGGTGGCAAAAGCCTCAGGGACGGAGTCTTAGTCTCTGCTGGGGCCCCAGCCACCTGCGCTTGTCTGGCACACAGTAGGGAGATGCGAACTTGCTGGGTACACTAAGCACCACCATGCCGACTTCCAGACGAATCTTTGTGCTCACTACACTCCCTGCATTCTTTTTTATGCCAAGATAAAGGAAACGAACGCTACTTTGGTGCCGGTGAAGTATTAATAGCACTCCTTGCTATCTGTTCCCACCCGTTATCTCAAACATGCCACCCCTATACCAAAAACCTGCTTGCAATACTAATTCCACATTCTAAATACAACCCTGCATCTAAAAACTTTTTTTAAAAAAGGATGAACTGCATAGTAAAAATCCAACAGCTACCACCATCTAGTGAGCAGTAAATATACCGTGTGCCTGCCACCGGGGTCTGTACTTCTGCATCTTCTTCCTCTTAATCCTCGCAGCCAGCCAGCGAGTGTGTTATCCCCATTTTACAGATAAGAAAACCGAGGCACAGAAAAGTTGTGTTGCCCCAGGTTACACAGCTAATCAGTGGATCGGACTCTCTCTAGTCTCCCAGTGATCTGTTCAATCCACGCCCTCCCGATTCTGGGGGATTAAGGTAGAGGAACAGAAGCATAATTAAAAATCTGCCACCTGAATCTGCCCTCTGGCAGTTTTCCACAAGCTAATACCTGCCAGCAACTCCCACACTCAGCACATAATGTGAGATTTCCAGAACTTTCTGCATTCTTGTGCAGAGTAGTCAGGAGTGGTCTGCATCCTGGGGCAGAAACAGATCTATCCTTCCCAGGTAAGCCTTGTCAAGCTTTTTCCATTGCAAACACCTCATTTGTTCCTTTCTGTTCCATTACCCATGCTAATCCCACATTATTCCTGGCTCTTGGGGCGCTCACACATGGACTCAGCTGCTTTTCACCCCCCACCCCCCCCTTCTTCTGGTGCCACGCAGCACCCACCGCACCAGGGACAGCAGGTGAGGGAGGTTGGCTTCAGGACTCATGAAGAAGCGGAGGCCAAAACAAGGCTACTTTTGGGAAAAAAAAAAAGGGCCAGACTGGCAAGAGCTGAAGGCAGTTTTGCAGGACAATGCCTGCCTTCTCCTCTATGATCAGAAAGAAGTTCGAGGTGAAAAAGGAAACCCCTTCTACCTCCTTACAAAATGCAATGCCAAACCCAAATATTAATTAGATGAGCCGTTGGCAGCCTCCTCTCAATCGGCGGGATAGAAATCTGAGCCCTTTACAAGAGCAGGCAACACCTGAACAGGAAAACTCTAAAATCAGAGGTAAAAGCGTGGAGCCAGGAAGCCCTTGCTATCTTTCACTGTAATACTCACCTGCCTTGGCCTTTTGGCGAAACACTTGGTTCAGGCCCAGGGAAGGTGGACCACACGTTTCTCGTTGATAAGGCAGGGAGAGTGGTTTTTTTTGTTTTTTTTTATTCTTATATTATCTCCATACATTGCATCATTAGTTTAAATGTAGTGTTCCATGATTCATTGTTTGTGCATAACACCCAGTGCTCCATGCAGAATGTGCCCTCCTCAATACCCATCACCAGGCTAACCCATCCTCCCACCCAGAGAGAGTGTTTTAAAAGCCGCTCAGGGAGTCATGCTCCCTCTAAAAGAACCACAAATTGTTAGAACCCAACAGTCTGAGAACCAGAAGTCAGCACCAAGGAATGAATGATGTGCTGTACGGGTTCCCTGGTCAGACGGGCATGAATCTCGGGGTTTCTCACTCTTGCCACCCCTGCTCAGAGACATTTTTAGCCAAGAGGGATTTTGATGTTTGTTTTGATGATATTTGAAAATCCCTTATTTAAATTGTACAGGACCCAAGTTCATTGGATTCTGGGAAGCAGAAGTCTAAGAGAATGCACACGGGACCAGAAGTCCAGAGAGAGAATTCTGGACTCATTCTGCTTCTGACCACCTGGGTGACTCTGCAAGCAACAGCTTGCCCTGTTCATCTAGTACCAGGGGAGAATCTCAGTTTCATAAACTCAGGAACTCAGGCAGTATTGTAAGGATCCAGTGAAACAGTGTGTGAATATCCCTCCTAATGGTCCAACACATTCTAAATTACAATGTTAAAGAATTATCATTACATTTAATAAGTTAATTTCATTTAACAACCATAACCCCATAGAGCAGACACGATCATTTCTATTTTTATACATGAGAAAATGGTCTCATGGGGACCTAAGGTCAAAGAGCTGGTGAACCACAAGCATGGAATCAAGCCCAGGTCTTCTGATGTGGACAGCTTGGCCATGGAGTGCACAGGAGGGCAAAGAGCAATTGGACATTGGGAAGCCCAAGCATGAGCCTCTCAGTAAATTCCTCCACTTCAGTCTTTCAATTTCCTTCCCACAAAAATGGAGGTGACGTCACCCATCCTATTTACCTGAAAAGGTTGATGCCAGGATCACATGAGACCATAATACAAAAGTGCCCTGGGTGAGGGCAAAGTTTCCTACATGGAGAGCAGGGAAACCCAGTTGAAGAGAAGGGACTTGGGATCAGGAAAGGAAATGAAGAATCCAGGACAGTAATCATACTGAGGGCAGGCCAGCAGGTAATTCTGTGGGTGGGAAAGGAAGAGGTCTGGAGCTGTTTACAAGATGAAGGGTAAACTAAAGAAAGGGACTTCAAGTGCATTCAGCTGTCCCAGGGAACAGGCCTGGGGTGATGCTGAAGCAGGGGTGGGATAGACACCCGCCCCTCTTGTGCAACATACCCAAAAGACCTTCACTAGCCTTGGGGATGATGGGAGGGATTTGTTTTATTTGCAAAAAAAATATTCTTGTGGGATAAAATTAAAAGTTGGGATAAAAATTAAAAAATTTTGTTACACTCTTCCTGATAACTTTTTTTAAACTGATCTGTGAAGTGCAGAAGTACAAAAGTTTGAGGACCACTGCCCGAAAACACCTCACAATGTTGCTGACCCTTCCAATGATATAATTACATGGAATTTTATCTATTCAACAAAAACTAGTAAGCATCTGCCCTGTGCCCAGCACCCTGTCAGGTGATGGGGATACAATGAAAATACTCTGTAAGATACACACAGACGGGGGCATCAGTCGCAAAAGGCTCTTGTATTTTCACCTATTTATCCCTAATGTCATCACTTGCCAATTAATGACTGCCATTTATACAGCTCATTAAAAACCTAGGAGTCTGGATTCCTGGGGGCTCTCTCATTCACTCTTGGGGCATCTTTTGCCCTCTCTAGGTCTGTTTCCTCATCTGTAAAAACATGGACATCTAGGATTCATTTCAGAGGACCAAAGCCTATTGAGGGGGAAGGAAATAGTTACTCCAAGCTCTGGATGGTAGACCAAAAACTAAGTTCAAAGAAAAATATGTCACTGATGGTTTTCAGTCCAACAGTCAGGTGTGATGAAGGAAGGAATCCCTCTGTCTCTTCCCCAGGATTTGTCTGGGGACCTCTTCTGGAAAATTCTATACCATCAAGAGATAGTTCTGGACTGGATTTCTACAAAAGAAGAGGAGGGGCTATATCCCAGGTGAAGAACAGTCTGTGGAGCCTTGTACCCCCATCAGCAACAAGAAGAGAATGGCTGCAGGCTACTGAAAGCCAGCAGTATCTACAAACTCACTCCCATGGCTTTTGCCAACTGCAGTGGTACCTGGGACACTTCTGACTTGTTCCCTCTCTTTTCTGACTCTTTCCTCAACAAATGCACATTTCTTAATATAATGTGACAATGGAAGCCAAACAGACCTTGAATTTTTACATCTGAAATTATAAAACATTTAAAGGTTGGGGGGGTTGTTTAATTAGAGAATCTCATAATTTGAAAGTCATACAGGTTCTGATTATTCAGTTCCAAGACACCAAACGCAGCACAGGTGTTCCCACTGAAAGGCCCCTCTTGGCTGGAGAGCCACAGATTCCTCAGGGCAGGGAAGGTGCCTCCTCCCTTTTCTGCCTGGGTGCCCACCATGTTTTTAAATCGATGCCACCCGGCCAGTTTCAAAGGTGCAATTCTGAGACCCTTCCATTTACTCTCCCAGCAGGTGGCAAAGTGCGCAGCCCCCCAGGAGGATTCGCTGGGGGCACTCCACTGCTGAGAAAATTGCACAGGAGTCACCTTAACACCCGCATATGCCCTGAAAAAGGCGGGGGGGGGGCTTGGATATGTCCCCCGAAGTCTTTATTAAAAAGGCGAGTCCCCTTCTGCAGCCGCCAGGTTAAGAGACTGCGACTGTGCCAAGCAGGTCGGGTTTAAAACGTGGTTCCCTCCTCCACCCACAGCCACAGAGCCCTGTTCCCTTACCTGTGCTCCGCGCCCTTTGGCTCTGCGACCCCGTGCCGGGGACCCAAGGGAAAGGCCGCTCCTGCGCCCAACGCACGCCCAGTCCCAAGACCCCGGCCGGCTCTCCCGGGGCTGCTGGCGGGGAGCCTGGAGGAGGCGTGCGTCAGGTGAGTTCTTCCCCAGGACGCGGGCTTCCCGGTGCAGCGCGCGGGCCTCGCGGCCGAGCTCAGGTGCGGCGCAAACAAAGCCGAACAAAGCCCGCATCGCCGCCCCGCGGCGCGTCCACGCGGGGCAGCACGGGGCCCGCGCATCCCCACCCCGGGAGCGCGAACAAGTAATCGGCGCCCCTTCCGAGGCCGCTGGCGGCGCAGAGACGGCTCGAGCTCTGACTCACCCGGACAAGCGCGGCGGGGAGCGCACGGCGGGACGCGGGCGCCGAGGCTGTTGTGCTGGCTCTCGGGCTCGGCTCGGGCCAGGGGGCGCTGCAGACCGGCAGGAGGGGCGCCCGGGGTGGGAGCCACGTGGGACACCTGTAGCATTCACCGAAGGGAAGCGGCGAGCACGGCGCGGGCCGTGGGAGGTGCATCAGGCGCTTCTGGGAACTGGGCCCGCATCCCTTCTCGCGTTTTTTGTTTTTTTTTTTTCAACACCGCGTTGGCCTGGTCGTCAAATAAAAGGACTTAACTTCTGCGCGGGTCTCCTGGTCTCTGAGCGGTGGAACGGGGAACACTGTGCCACCCACTGTCGACTCCGCAGGATTTATTGCTCAGACCCATGCGAAGATGTTGACTTTGGCATCGCTTCTGTTTGTCATGGCAATTGCCGTTTACCTGCCTTTGCAATTATTGCAGGTGGGAGGTAAGAAGCAGGCCTTTTCGGCCAGCGTCCTCGATTAAGTCTAGCAGGTGCTGGATTTTTAAAAATCAGACGCCAGCAAGCAAAATGGCACAATGCCTATATACAGTAAGTGCTAAATAAATGTTGGCTATCCCTGCATAATCTAGTTTTCATACTTCACCAGTAAAGTGTTATTCATTGCACGTGTGCTCATTGCAGAAAAAGAAAATGCCAGTAAGGAACTTGCAAAACCACACCTATTCCACTACCGAGATAATCACTATTATCATTATGGTGTATGTTCTTCCAGTAAATTTATGTAAGTATTTACATTTTCAGTTCAGTCCATACATACTGTAACATAACCAGCTTTTCTATTTCTCGTACATCTATGCTTTTAGCCACTACTTAACGTTCTAATGTATTTAACCTATTACTGAACATTAACTTTTAATCATGCAATTAGATATTCCTGCTTTTGTCCAATTACTTGGAGTAAACTGCAAAAAGGTAAATTTCTGGACCCTATAGGATATATGCAATTTAAGGCTTTTGATGTGTATTGTCAAACTGGAAGATCGTTTCCTCTTTTCCATACCTCTCCCCCCATTATTCTTGTAAATGTCAGTCCCATAGACAATTTTTTTTACGCTTTTCCTTTTTAAAAAAATTCTAGGCACCTGGGTGGCTCAGGTCATGACCCCAGGGTCCTGCTCAGCAGGAAGCCTGCTTCTCCCTCTCCTCCCCGCTTGTGCTCTCGCTCTCAAATATTAAAAAAAAATCTTAAAACATTACACTTTGTCTGGTTCTCCCAACATTAAGCTTCCGTGAAAGTGACCTGTGGCAAGTAAATGTTGCTAACTTCACAGAAGTGGGGGGCGGGGGAGGACTCATTTTTCACCTAATTCCTTCCAGTAACACTTAGTGAGCACCCTACTGTAAAACGTAGCAGCATAAGCCATGCAGGAGCATCTATGCAGGGGAACTTAGCAGGTCTAAATGCTTGGCGGAAGGGGTGGGGCCGTGTCCTCTCTACATCTGAATGGGCAGTGTCTCATAGAAATGTAATACAAGCCAAATAGGTCATTTTAAATGTTCTCGTGGCCACATTTAAGAAGTGGAAAAAACATGTGAACTTACTATTAGCCTAGCAGATCCCAAATATCTTGTGTAACCAACAAAGTATTTTATACAAAGTCTTCAGAATCCTGTATTTTACATGTATAGCACATCTCAGTTTGGACTAGCCACATTTTAAGTGTCCAATAGCCACATGTAGTGAGTGGCCTGTGCCACTCCAGACAGAGGTTTGAGAAGAGCAGACCAGGTCCTGCCAAAAGCGGCAATTTCCCAGCTGACAGCCCTCTGCTGGGCTAGTCCTGGTTGCTAACATTTACCAGCACACCTTTACCTAATCAGGTTTACCTTAGACAAGTCAAATTTCAATTCTGGATGTTCCTGACAGTTTGATGGCTTTAATTGGAGGGAGGCATTTCACATTTTCATTCCATGGTTAAGAAGTAAAAGGCCAAGGGCGCCTGGGTGGCTCAGTTGGTTAAGCGACTGCCTTCGGCTCAGGTCATGATCCTGAAGTCCCTGGATCGAGTCCCGCATCGGGCTCCCTGCTCGGCAGGGAGTCTGCTTCTCCCTCTGACCCTCCCCCCTCTCATGTGCTCTCTCTCTCATTCTCTGTCAAATAAATAAATAAAATCTTAAAAAAAAAAAAAAGTAAAAGGCCAAAACTATAAATACTGGAGGAGATACCAGTTGCTTCAAACTTCTTCACATCACATTATAGTCTGCCCCAGATGCCTATCAGATCTAGCGGATATGCATGCAGGGAGCCGGGAAGGGCAGGCGGCCCAGGTTGTGGAGAGTGGAAAGGGGTGGAGGCTTTATACACAAAGAGGAACTGGGCGCTACTCCTCTCATCCACAGCAAACCCTCCTTTGTGAAGATTTGTAGACATTTAAAAAAAAAAAAAAGAGGCATTATGAAGGACCATCATCCCAAAGAGATCGTGAGCCTCTTGCTTCCAAGAACTTACCTTCATCTTTGCAGCCCCAGTGCTTGCTAGCTCCATGCAGTTAAGTGCCCTTTCACAATGTGAGCCGCCCTGTACAGCATGTCTCAGGGAACACACAAGGCATGAAGACTAGGAGTTTCATGCAGAGATCAATTGGGGACTTCAGCACTCAGTGACACATAGCGGGTGATACCCAGTGTTGTGGAATGACCACCTCTTTAGAAGTGAGGGAATCTGGGCTTCCTGATCCAGCTCTCCTGCCTACTGGCTTTGGGACAGAGCAGAGACGCTTAATGTTTGCTCAGTTTTCTGGCCTACAAAGTTAAATGTTCATGAGTGCAATGGTTTCCAAACCTGTGGACGCCCCAAATTCTCTGTACCTAGCCCCCCAAATGATGAAAGCAAGGTAGAGCACGTATGAAAAGACCCAAAGGAGGATAGGTTATAGAGCTACAAATGTAGACTTCCCAGAACCCTCTTGAGAAGTGAAAGAACAGGAAACACTGCGTATTAGAACAGCCAAGAAACCAGCTAAGAGGAAAAGGGCCTGATTCTCAAGTGCTCCACAGGCAGCACATTAAGCCAGAGCAAAAACCATGGAGCCAAGGCGATGACAAAACAAAGTTGTGGCAGGGGCACGTGAGCAACAGAAATACTGCATCTCAAAGCTAGAGACCCTTAGGTTTAGGGTAGGCACCAACTGCTCTAAAGGTTAAAGCATACAACCCACTCCCTAAGACAGTGAGAAGAATCACACACAAGGTTATTGGATTTGCTTTTGGGAAATGTGATGCTTTTTGGCTGAATCAAGGAAACGTGGAATGTCTCCAAAGGCAAGGGCTTGGGTAACGTCATTCAATCATTCGATCAACAGCCAAAACCTATAAGCACTCTCCTCCTTCAAATTGCCAATACTTCCAAATTTTGTATCTTCAGTTTTCACACATGCATAACTGCGCCTTACTGTGTTTGTTGAATGCATTTCGAGAGGAATCTGAGCACACCCTTGGGGGCAGAAGGGCTTCTGACTTATAAACCTCAGTCAGCCTCACTTCCTGGAAGGCTTATCACTACACCGTCTTACAAGAGGCATCACCTCAGGGTCTCAAGATAAAAAGGAAAGCGCAGGAAAATGGCTGAGGCTGGACAGCTCAAGTCTTCAATGAAACCAATTTCAGGTTATCTGAAAGCTACAGCTGAGGTTCGAGAGGCTTCCTAGGGAAGATGTTCGGCAGTGCCTAAGTAGAAACTTGAGCGACATTCAGGGCAGCAGAAAATGTGTCAGATCATCTTTGGGTGAGCCTCTGCCACTCCCGCCCTGTGCAGGCATGCAGTCATCTTACAGTAACTGAATCTCGATTTCATTCTGGCAAAATCACCCTAGGACTCTTAACTGCATGTGTGGAACCATAGGCTGCCCTCCAATTCCTTTCATCTGGAAAAACAAAGCAAAAACCATCCTTGAGAATCCTGTGTACTGAGTAAAGGCTGCTTGGGTGCACGACCCGCTACAGACCCATGTGCACTGGTGAGCAGCCTCGGGGCTCTTCTCCGGCCCCCCCAGAAGGGATCGATTTGCCCAGCTCCAGCAGGAGCTGTGTCAGCGATGAGCCCACCAGTTACACTAATGGTTTACTGCTTGGCGCTGCCAGCCACTCAGTAGCAAGCCTCATGATCACTTAATTCCTCTCCTGGAATCTGTTTAGGGCCCTGCAGATAAGGATCCTCACCTACTGGTTTTCTGGAGTGCCTACTATATATAGCACGAGAGCTCAAGTTCAGCAAATTAACGACCCTCATTCACAGTTCCATGACTTTTACATCTCTAGTTGCCCCAGGCAAAAGAATTCTACCAGAAGAAAAGGCAGACTGAATATACCTCCACACACACCTTTATCTCAATATTTACATTCCGTCTGCCAAGGAATAATTTGTTTGGTTATACAGCTTCAGCAATATTGTACTTATCTGACTGAACTACATATACTGAGGGAAACTGAACACCAAAACCAGCAGGTGTGATAGATTATTCATGACCCTAATGAACAATAACACAGCACACTTACCTTGATCCCAGGCAAGTAGAGAGAGGTCAATAAATACTTGAATCATGTTAATAATGCCAATTAAAGTAGGTCCAGTAGATGATTATATAAAATCCAGATCTCTACTTGTGGAACTAGTGCTATAGATAGCATTTTGGGGAACAAGATAAATAGCTGAACCACCAAGTAATAGTAAACTCTTTGTATTCAAATTTGCAGTAGCATATAAAACCTTGGAATCTGAGAAACTGTGACTTAGATTTTGTGTGTTCTTTGACTTGCTTCTTTAATGTTCCACAATGAAAAGGCCAATTTTGTGATTCCATAGTTTTCATCTGCATTTTCATGGTGGCTGCAATTAAACTAAGAATGTACAAACTAAGCATCCAGTTTTCCTAGTATGTACAGATAAAAGGAAGTTAGCAAAACAGTGGCCATGAGAACACAAGGCTGAAAAAGTGAAAGGATTTTGAGCAGCATACATTTTCATCCAATAAAAGCACATCAATGTTTGAACAACTTTTTCCATGTGGAAAAATTCCATTTAATCTGTCTGACACGTTACCAGTAAAAGCAAAAAAAAAAAAAAAAAGTCTTTAATTTCTTGAGTTGGTGACATCATCTTAGGTTTATCAGAGTCTGATACTTAAATCATGGGAAAATTCCCAAACAGAAATTTACAGGTTAGCAGGAAAAGTCAGCTGGTCCATAATTCTGCATATGTGAGCTTAGTAGAAACTAAAATTACCTTATGTACTTCAAGAAAAATATATACTCTAACTTCAATTTTTAACTTACATTGTTAACTGTATTTGTACTTCGAGAAATGTAAATTCTACCTACAATAACAAAGTCTAAGTGGCTACAGATTTGGAAGGGTATGGATGGCAGGAGCAGAAAACAGAAAGTTCCTTCCCCTTGGAGAGGCTGAAAGACCAAGAACAGACCCCGTGCCCAAAGGCCAAAGGAAGAGAGATCCAATTTAGGATGGAGAGAAAGAAGCTGATGAGCTCAGAGTGGACAGGAAAAGAAGAGCCAGGACTGAAGCAACGACAAGACAAAGAACATTTATTAAGTGGAAGAGGCAGATGAGGACAGCGAGAGCAGGGCACATTTTATTATGAAGTATTTCAAACATACAGAAAAATCCAAAAAAATAAAACTCCTACACATCTATCAACTAGATTTATCTGCTAGTAACATGGAGCCATATTTTCTTCAGTACCTCTAAGTCCTAAAAATTTATATATACAAAAGCCCCTGTGTATCCCTTCCCAATATCCCCCATGAATGTGGTATGAAACTTTCATGCAAGACTTATTTGGGAGGAAGAACTCAGAGGGAAAAATAAAACTACCCAACCTAACAGAAGAGCAGCAAGCAAACAAAAATGGAGGCACAGGAGACAACATTCCCAATCAACAAAGACAAAAGATGCTGTGCTGTCTGTAAGTCCAGCCGTCCCAGTCTCCTTTCTTCTAAGTGTTCATCTCCGAGAGAGACTGCTTCTGAAAGAGAAGAATCAACTGTCATTATGCCTTATACACAAACTCCATCACTATGGTTCTTAATTTCTATCGTAAGTGCAAGCAAACCCAACAATCACTTTTAACTGAAAGTAACACGTTCAAGGAATTCACCCCCACCCCAGCGCTGCGTGTTAGCTACAGCCATTTGCACTACCCTCGACGAATGTAAAACATAGCTGCCACTCTCCCTTCAGATGGACAATTTTCTTTTAACATGTGTGTTGAAGTACTTATTTATCACATCTGAGCCACAGCTATCAGTTTTCTGTTCTCGTCACCACAGCACTCCTAGTGGGGCAATTTTACAGTTATTAACAAATTTCTCCAGGAGAGACTAAACACTTCCATTTGAAACATATTTTCTCTGTATCTAGGAAGAACAATTTAAGAGCATAAATATTCAACTATACTTTCACCAAAATAAAGCAAGTATGCTTAAGCAACCATGCATGCAATTTTTTCTAATATAACCCCTTGGGGCTCCATGCCCTCCAGAACTGATCTAAGGACACCATAGCAGAGAGAGGAGCCTGGGGTCTTAAGACCGGGGGGAGGGGTGTGTGTGTGTGTGTGTGTGTGTGTGTGTGTGTGTGTGTTAGAGAGGTGTGTTAGAGAGAGAGATCTTGTGCAGCTGTGCAACTTCTCAGAGTCTCAGCCTCATCTATGAAATGGGGTCTGCTTTCTTTTCAGGGATATTGTGACGAATAAATATGTGCCTAGATGTTCAAATGCTTTTAAATTAATATATAAGGTATTTTGTTATATTCTAATGTAGGTAAAATACGTATTCCCACAGTAAAGAAAAAGCCAGTTCAACTACAATGCTTTCTTTAAATCAAGTTTTGTTTTTTTTTTCAAAGCAAGGTCTTCAATCTATGTAGAAACAAAAGAAAATCTAACTTTCATCTTGTGTGTGTTGGCACTCTCAAAAGCCTTATGAAAAAGACACAAATAAAAAATATGATGATTTGGCGCTAGGACTAAATTCCAGAAGTTCATGTCATTGCATGTCCCTTAATCTATGAAATAGTCATTAAATTGAAGATTTTACCTTACTTTTAAATTTTTCTTTTTAATTTAAGATTTTAAACTCAACTACACAAGACAGCAGTCAGTACTGGAACTGAATGTGTTAACAAGGGCTGAAGGTTGTAACTGCAACATAAGTCAGCATTTATTAGAAATAACACAAAACTTGTAAAGCAAATACATCGGGAGTCTCAAAATTGTTACTCTAGCATTAATGACTCAGCTTAGACCTCTTACTTTCTCAGTAAGAAACAACACAACGGTGCATCACTCCACGGAGAAGACGTCTCGCGCACACAGCAGGCCCCCCCCACCTGAGAGCTACCTGCCCACAGAGGTCAGTACCGCCCAGAGCGGGACTTGCAAGTGGGCTGACAGGTTGTGCTTCAGCCAACAAGAGTGCACGGATGAAGTAAATCAAAAGATCCCTTGCTTTTGGCTGGAATTATATCAATTAGACAAGGCAGGAAGGACAATTTAATTTTAATCAGAAATTCTAATTGGCTACTAATCACAAAGTAATTTCTGAGGGCTATCTTGGAACAAAGCACCCCAGACAGTAAAAAAGCAGGGGGAGTGTTGTTTAAAACTCATGAATTATTGTCTGTAAGCACTAGAATCACCACGGCCAAGGCAAAGGTTTTATTTGGAAATGAAATACACTATCAGGGCAGCCCATTTTTCATTCTTGGCCCTTTAGAACCTCTTCACAAAAGGTGCTAAACAGGGACACCTGGGTGTAGCGTCCGACTCTTGGTTTTGGCTCAGGTCATGATCTCAGGGTTGTAAGATCAAGCCCCATCAGGCTCTGCGCTCAGTGGGGAGTCTGCTTAAGAATCTCTCTCTCCCCCTCTCCCGCCCCATCCCACCTCTGTGCACTCTCTTTCTCTAATAAATAAATCTTTTAAAAAGAAAAGTGCTAAACATTTTTATAGCATTATGCACAAGTGAGTTCATTTCACATCTAGACACAAAGAATTTGAGGCAAAGTTTTATTTCACAACAATTTTTACAAGTCCCTCCATGTTATCAATAACAGGAGCATTCAGAATCAAACAACAGTAAGGTGAGTGGTTGCAACCTGAACACCCCTGGACTTGGTCCCATTAGCAGAGCCAAAGTAAGATTATCAAATTAAATCTAGGAAGACAGCAAAAACATTACAACCAGAACTCAGATCATCAGGTCACAAAATAAAGAACACATCATCAGTTCTACCCTAACATGCCTAGAGATGTCCTGCTGATGGTTACAGAAGTGGTGAAAACATCAAATTTAACTTACTTAACTTTTTAACAATTTTTTCATTTCAATAAATTTATTTTGATTGGTTGGATTGTTTAAGAGGAAGAGAAGAATCTGTTCGTGTTTTTCAACCTATGGGTGAAGAAAAAAATAGTATTTAATTTCTAAAAATGTAAGGAGTACACTTTCACTTCAAGGAAATTCTACCCACTTGTTTCTGTAACGCTGTGCAACAGCAATTCATCCTGCACGTCCTTTCTAAAAGCAAATACAAAAAGCCATTAGAGAACACACACCATAATTAACAAAAAAATTAGGCATGGGTTCTAACTATAAAGGACTTGATCGATTAACTTCTCATTTGGGCTTTAATATTCTCTACTACTGCACCCTGGGTTTCACCAAATTAACGGCCCCATCTCCAAGGTTTTAAGTCTTTTGCCTATCATATATGGGATATCTCTTTGGCCAAGGGTAGGCCTGCCAAATCATCATCTCATGAGATATCCATAAGGTCCAATCTCAAAAATACAAACTCCTCTCCTCCTTTGGTCATGATCGAAATTAAGTTGGAAATAATTCTGAATGCGAGACATTTCTGAAGCTCTCAATATCAATGCTATCACCAATGTGATCAACTATGCTGCTGAGCCTAAGCTAAGGAAAATCTGGCCTGGGAGGTCTGCTTCTATCCAGTGGGTCCCCTCAGGGGCAATGTGAGTCGTACCTTGCCACTGGATTTGCAAGGGCGGGGCGGTGATAAAGGGAACGTGACCACAGAGGGTAAGGAAAAACCAGGTCACCTACATTGATAACATCTGTTTTTAATTACACTTATATCTGTCATTAATTAAACTTGAAAAAAATACCTGTACTTAAAGCACTTTGCTCTTTAGATGCGATGTTTTTTGCCAGACCATATGTCACCAGCTTTTCAGCTATATTGATAGTACCATTTTCAGAGCATTTCTCAACCGACACTGTATGGACATTCTTGATAATTCCTTTTACAGAAAGCATTACACTCTGATTCAACATGAAATTTTTAAGTAGTTCTATTACTAAATGAGAGCAGCTTCCATTCAATTCCATTAGTCCTGGGAAAACAACTGAGTATTAATCTTTGAGTCCCTTAAAAAAAGATAAATATTTACATATATCGTCTAAAGACAATAAGCAAAGTCTCACTTACTTTAGCTGGGCTTAGGTATGCTTTGATATACAATTGCTGTTGCATTAAAAAAAATCACTCAATAGATATTCACTGATCCCTATTATGTGTCAAGCACTAATCTAGGTCTAGAGGGCATAAAAAAGACAATTATCTGCTGCCAGGGACATATGTCTGTTATAATGGGAGAAGCAAACAGAATTTTCCAACTCTTTGTCCGAGGCAAAATCAAAGCAGACTACGAGGAAATGAGTGAGCGCTCATCTGCTGGGACCACTAGGTAATGAAATCAGGAGTAAGGGTAAAAAGCTACTTTAGCATTCCCATTCGCTTTATTCAAACACCAGCTGAAGAGCTGAACATGTGCAGATACAGTTCACAGAAAAGTAGTCCCAAATGGTGTCATCTCTGGTCTCTCAAGAGAATGCCGTGACAGAGCGGAGAGACCCTCAGGTAAGGGTCAGATGGCCCAGTTCCCCCCGCCCTGCCACTTTTAGCTGTGCAGCCTGGGGCCACACACAATCTCTAAACAACAGTGGGTAACAGTGTAATCTTTGTGAGAATGAAATAAGGGATGAAAGATAAGAATTTTTTTTTTGTAAACTCTGCTTGATATTTAGAAACCTGGGCAGTTACTGAAATGCCCATCTGATTCAGACATGGGGCTATAAGACAGAGGAGAAAAAAAAAAAAATCACACAGATATCCCAATTGGAAAGTGACTTAGCTGCCTACCTTCGAGGGAACATCTAATAATTTGGAAAGGAAGCTCCAGGTGCCTGGTGGAAATTGGCTGCACTCTGGAAAGAGGCAGAGTTTCAATGTTTCCATAGTCTGCATAGAGTACTTTCACATCAACATCTGATGCCCCCAGAACAATGGCACGGTACCAGAAGTTGTCACCTGAAAATATAATGCAATCTCAGGTAAGAAGTTACATGCAACGACCCCCTCCCTCCCTTAAGATGGTTATTCACAGTTACATTTACATCAGTGAGAAATTCATGCCAACATTTCTGGTTAGAGTCCAGATGAAACAAAAGCATCACCTCCACTCCTTCTAGATCCTACTAAAAAGACAATTACGTGATTAAAAAGAAAAAGGCACAAAACCACAAGGATAGAGGACAAGAGAGAAGACAGTGTAATATTGGAAGCTGGAAAGCAGATGGCAGGAATGGAAATGATTTAGCAGAGCTCAACCAAAGCTGGCTATGGGAAAGCAAAGCAACATCTTCCTTGGCATCTTAAATCCCCAAGCCCTAATAATTAATGCATTCCAAAGTAGTAGTAAGAATGGAGCTGAAAATGAGGACTGGGTAAAGAAAGCAAACTTATTTCCCAAGACAACTGAACAGACTTTAGTTTACAAACACATTTATAGGTAATACTTATTTTTAAAGTTGCTGAAGAGGATGATCAGTTTTATGTTCACGTGTTTTAATAAAACTTAGAATGCCCTCCCCATTTCAAGGCATCTGCTCCTGCTCAAGGGCAGAAGACTAGAGGTTTCTTCTCCAGAGAGGATGAACCAGGTAGACTACCGGACTCAGGAACATGAGGCAGCACAGAGGAAGTTTACCGAGAACACTGCTGGGGGACCTGTGCACACCAAGCAGGAGACCACCATCCCAAGGCAAATGCACTTCAAGATACCAACAGCAGGAGTCCCCAGGGAAATGGCAGGGCCCCATCACCCAACAGGAGAGGCCACCAGTGCCCAAGCTCTGCCCACACAACAGCTTCCAATTAACTTCTAAGGGCCCCATCGAAGTGAGCAGCAAAGGATCAGCAGGCATCTGAAGAAACCTTCCGACATGGCAGAGAAGACCAAACCAAACAGGAACTCAAAGAAACAGGGAGAAGACAGGGACAATTAGAAGAAGGATATTAACACCCCCAGACAAATTGATTTCCATCCTTGAAATAAGGACAAGTCAGTATTGGGGCACCTGGGTGGCTCAGTTGTTAAGCACCTGCCTTCGGCTCGGGTCATGATCCCAGGGTCCTGGGATCGAGCCCTGCATCGGGCTCCCTGCTCGGCGGGAAGCATGCTTCTCCCTCTCCTACTCCCCCTGCTTGTGTTCCTACACTCCCTCTCTCTGTCAAATAAATAAATAAAATCTTTTTTAAAAAAGAGCAAGTCAGTATTAAAGACACTTGAAAAGACAAACAAAAAAGCTATTGAAACTAGAGATGTGGTATCAGAAGTGAAACACTCAATAAACTGGAAGATAAAACTGAGGAACTCTCCTGAAAAAAATAAGCAAAAAAGGTGAAAGAGAAAAGAGGAAACTTAGAAGAGTTTCAAGTCCAACATTAGAATATTTGGAGTTCCTGGGGCACCTGGGTGGCTGTCAGTTGAGTGTCTGACTCGATTTTTAACTCAGGTCATCATCTCAGTGTCTTGAGATCGAGCCCAATGTGGGTCTCTGTGCTCAGGGGGTAGTCTGCCTGAGATTCTTTCTCACCCTCTCCCCCTGCCCTTCCCCCTCCCCCCTGCTTTCTCTTCAAAATACATAAATCATTTTTAAGACACTGCTCTGTCCAGTGATTTAAGACACTTAACGACTGAGCCACCCAGGTGCCCCTAAATAAATAAATCTTTAAAAAAAAGAATTGGGGCACCTGGGTGGGTCAGTCGGTTAAGCGGCTGCCTTCAGCTCAGGTCATGATCCCAGGGTCCTGAGATCGAGCCCCGCATCAGGCTCCCTGCTCAACAGGGAATCTGCTTCTCCCTCTCTCTCTACCTGCTGCTCTGCCTACTTGTGCTCTCTGTCAAATAAATAAACAAAATCTTTAGAAAAAAAAAAAAAAAAGAATATTTGGAGTTTCTAACAGAACAGAAAATGAAAGAAGGGAATAAAAAAATTTCAGAAAACTTTCTCAAAACCAAAGCTCATCAATTCCTAGACTTAAGGGCCCACCCATTAAAAGTGCCCAACATAATGGTAAAAACTAATGCCAAGTCCCATCATGAATTTCAAAACATGGAATGAAGAGATTACTATAAATTCCAGAGAGGGGGAAAAAAATACGTACAAAGTTTGGAGAATCTAAATGACCTCTCTTTTGACCAGCAACATCAACAGCTTTAAGAAACCATAAAAGTAGGGCACCTGGCTGGCTCAGTTGGTGAAACTTGAGACTCTTGATCTCGGGGTTATGACCTTGAACCCCATGCTGGATGTAGAGATTACTTAATAAAAATTTTTTTAAAAAGCAATGCCTTCAAAATTTTAAGGGAAAGATGATTTCCAATCTAGAATTCTATATCTAGGCAAGCTATCCATTAACTATTAAGGTAGAATAAAGACTTTTTCAAACATGGGAGAACATAGGGAGATAACAGAAAATTTATCTTACACATACCTTTTCTCAGCTTCTGGAGGATGGGATATACCCAAATTTTAGAATAAATCCAAAGTAAGGATTTCAGAAAACAAGGTGAGATGAGAGAGGGAGAAACTGAGAAAACATAGTGGGATGGGAGGGCAATCTGTGAAACATGAGGGAGTAGTGTTGAAACAACCCCAGTAAGATGATGAAGGGAAAGGTCCAGGGTGATGGTTCACGTCTAGAGGACAAGCAGTCTGGCTAGAAGGTCAGAAGGCAGCAAGTGCTGGTAATATAACAAAAGCTGATGAAGTACATGAGGTTTCACTGGGAGAATCTGCACCAATGCAGAGAACTGGAGATAATCAGAGAAAGTATACAGAATACAGCAATGTTGTAGTGTACTACGTGGCTAGGCTGTGAATAGTGTTTATGCAATTCCAAGAAAGTAACAGAGAATACTTATCAAACCAAAAATTGTGACATATTTCTATCAGGAAGAAAGGGAGGGAAAGTGTAGATCCCGTTATCATACAAAAGAAGAGCAAAACTAAACATAATACATTTAACCGTAAATCTAAATTTAAATTAAAAATTGTTTTAAATGAACTCTATGTGGGCAACAGACCGAAAGCATTTTAAACCCGTTGCTGGCAAGAGGAAGATGAAATTGGCCCACTCACAAACTTTTGGCACATACGGACATTTCTTTAAGATGCCTACAGAGCAATATGCTTCCGGAACTTACAAAACAATTTATATCCTTTGACTCAGGAATTCCCCAAATTTCTGCCCAAGAATATTCACTCCAAGTGTTGTTATTACAAAAAGAAATTTGTTAACATGAAATATTAAACAACAGGACAACTGTTAAGTGTACCTGATTCAACAAGTCTTTTTAAGGCATTTATTCCTTTTTTAGTACATTCATAAAGTTCTACAAATTATTTGCAACTCTTCCATACATAAATGTTATTGGTCAACCATATACAGTAGAGTTTCGAGAGCTATCTCAAAGTACTGACAGATTTGTAGTTATCTACCTATATCCTTACCTAAATATAATCTATGGTTATAAAACAGAAAAGCTAGATGACCCCAGCACATGAATTAAACCTACAACCTTGCTTTTAATTTAACAAAATGAAATGTGCACCTAATATAACAGAATACACAAGATTTCATGTAAAAGAGAACAAAACATTTCCCCTTTAATATTTTACTTAAAAGAACCTTACTGGTGTATTTGGCACAGCACGCATCTCCAATTTTGGGTCTGTAAGACACTCGGCTTTTCTGAGTATTGCAATATTCTAACAATTCAGCTGTCAATATACACAATCTTTCCTGATCTTCTGAAACATAAAAAAGCAATCTTTTGTGAAGAAATTTTCAATGCTGTTTAGACAGTATACAAAAACAATGTCAAATAGAATCACTCAAAAAAACCTGTTTACATTTATATTTTAAGAATACATAAAACCACTAGTGGTTACCTTGTACAAAAGGGATCTAATACTGGGAAGGAGTAAGATGGAAGCTTCTGGAAAGCTAATTTCTAGATCAGGGTGGTTATACTAGTGTGTTCACACTACAGAAACTTATTAAGTCGCACTTTCACGATTTTTCGGTATACTTTTCAGGAAGTGTGTTATAGTTAATGAGATTAAACAAAGTACTTCTAATTCATCAGGATTCAATAACCCTAAGTCCCTGCTTTCCACTGCACAGATTAAAGATGATGATTTGTAATCCTGGAGATAGATTTAAGAGCACTTGTTGGTATCACCACAATTTGTGGTCTTACAATTTGAAACAAAGGTTCACTTTCTCAACCTTCAAGTACCTGCAATTATTTTGAATAGCCATCACCCAACTTGCACTAACTCCTTCTGACACTACAAGGATAAACTCAAATATACTGAAGAGATTTCTTAATTATAAACTTCCAGGAAACAAGAAAACATTTATATGCTACTTTTCTTCAGGATTAGGCCCAGTATAAAACATTTCTCTAAGTTTCTAAGCTATAGTATTATAGACTGATTTATAAAGTACTTTTTCAATGTAACAAATTTTCTTAAAAGGTGTAGACGGCTAGCTTTGTAAATGCAATTCATATAGACAGTATCTATTTTTAAAAAGAAATTATACAGCAATTAAGGAAACTATTTTCTTATAAAAAGCCGGAGATGAGACTGGGTTGGGTAGGTGCTAAATGCAGGGCATTTCCCTTCATGTTCACATTGAACATGTGTTTGTATAACTAAATATGCCTGAAGTATTATGATGGCCAGTTCTTCCTTAAAACATTGAATAAAACAAAAATCACCAGCCTCCCCCCTTCTCTCTCACTTCCTAAAGAGTTCAGATAAGCGCTTTCATTATACTTATAAAAAGATAAGCATAAATAAGTCTCAAATTTTGGTTTCTTACCTGGCATCTCATTTGGTAGAGCATAAAACAAGTGTGGGTTTATGATTTCTAATATGGTTGCTTGTACAGTTTTATTAACTGGCAATTCTGTCGTCCTCCACTGTTCAGCTAAAGAGATGGCTGAAAACATACAAAACAGATCTTGTATAAAACAGATCAAAGTTGTTATTCTCTCCCAGTTTATTCAATTTATTTATCAACTGAATCAACATTCACAAATTCCTAAAATGAAAATCTGTATTTTCACAAAACAATCTATTCATTTGAGGGATTCTGTATTACCAAAAAGGCCAAACTAGAATGAGAATCTTTGACCTGCTGCACTCATGTATTATTTCTGTAATACATTTCCAATTCCATAGTATATTTAATATAAGCCTTATAATTGATTCACTCTTTAGGGGATATATAACTGTACGATGCAAGACTACCTAATAAATAACTACAATAAAAATGAGTACAGTGTTTAATAAAACCACGTTTCAATAAATATTATTTTTTTTAAAGATTTATTTATGAGAGAGTTTGCATGAGTGGGGGAGTGGGGGGCAGAGGAGGAGATGGAGACAAAGAATCGGAAGCAGACTCCACACTGAGCCAGGAGCCGGAAGCAGAGTTCAATCTCACCACCCTGAGGTCTCTCACCACCCAAGCTGAAACCAAGAGTTGGACGCTTAACCAGCAGCTCCCCCCAGGCACCCCCAATAAATACTAATTTTAGTAACCTGTTATTAACCTATTTCCACAAAGCATGTTTTCCTACAGAAAAACTGCATCATTTGGCTAGAAAAATTTCATAGCCTATAAAAGCAAAGGATAACACAAATTTAAATAAGGAATCAATGGTTTAAACACGTTACCTTGAAGCCCCAGGACATCAACTTGAAGATCACGTTTACTAACGGGTCTGTTATTTGTCAAGTCTTTACGTGGCGAACTAGTTTTTAAAACCAGATGTTCATCAATCAGAACATCACTAATTATTCTGGGGTAAGAAGTGGAGAGATCAATGAGCTCGATTCCCACTCCCTGTCCAGTGATTTCAACCACTCGGGCCTGGAGTTTTATCCCTGCAACGCACATCTGAAATCTTGCTATGGCTTCTTCAGTCCAGTGTTTGTTTCTAGGCTGTATATCTGGCAAATAAGAAGAGCATTAAAAAGAGTTCTGTGCCCAAGCTGGATTTTTGCCTCAACAGTACCTGGGACTGGTCCTTGTCAAGTGTTCCATTTGGGTCAGTGATTTTGAGTATCTTTTTTTTGCAATGTTCAATTACATTTCTACATCTTCTATGCCTGAGTCACAGATAACGCATTTGTATACATACTACTAGGGTTTTGGAGCCTCGGAAATTTTCCTTGTTTTCCCCACTAATGTATCTTTACCTGGCATTTTTCCAATAGGCAAAAATAAGGTTAGAAGCCATTACTGTGTTCTGTTATATATAAGATGATGAGTTACTAATTATGCTGGTATAAGATCTCAACCATACACCTTCACTTCTGTGGGCAGTTTTCTAATGGTGATTTTAAAATCTTATTTTAAACTACTTAACCAAAAATTATTTTTCTGGTAACTCTGGCTTATACCCTTATTTTTAGAATAACTCAAACTTGAGTGTGCATCTCCATTACCTGGAGGGCTCAATAAAACAGATTTCAGGGCCACACGCTAGAATTTCCAATTTAGCAGATCTTGGCTGGGGACTAAGAATCTGCAGTTTGAATAATTTCTTAAGTTGATGTTGCTTGTCTGGGGGTCACATTTTTTTTTTCAAAGATTTTATTTACTTATTTGACAGAGAGAGAGAGAGAATGCACAAGCAGGGAGAGTGGCAGGGAGAGGGAGAAGCAGGCTCCCCGCAGAGCAGGGAGCCCGATGCGGGGCTCGATCCCAGGACCCTGGGATCATGACCTGAGCCGAAGGCAGTTGCCTAACAAACTGAACCACCCAGGCACTCTGGGGGCCACATTTTAAGAAGCATGAACATAAAACATGGTAATTAAAAATAATCTGAAACATACTTAGTGTAGTAAGTAGAAAGAAAACCTGCAAAAGGAAAAATAAAGAGCATCTATGCTGCCAGACATGAGCACTATTAACATTTTGGTATCCAACCTCCCATAATTTTCATGTGCACATGGAAAGACCCACATGCACATACGAGTTTCTTTTATAAAGAAACCTTTCCATAATAATAGCTCTTATACATATATGCCAGGGAGTGTTAAGTGCTTTATATTTTTCATCCCTTTTATTCTTAATGACTCTTTGAGGAAGATACTGTTATTTTCCAGATGAAGAAACAGAAGCACCAGAGAGTTTGAATCATTTGCCTAAGATTCCAGAGCCTGTCCTCGTAATCACAATGCCATCCTGTATTTCTTTTACAACTTGCATGTTTTATGTACCTCATAAACAATTCTTCATATTAATAACCCATGGTTAACATCACTTTAATGACTGTGTGGTAAGAGGAAACACTTAAATCGAACTTTGCATGTCAGAAAAATTCTGTTTCTAAGAATTCATTTAATCCTCACACCAACCAACTGAAATAGGTACTACTACTGTCAATTATATGGATCATCATTTAATCAATCCTCTGTAACTGGCTATTTAGGTGGTTTTGCTATTATTAACAGCAGTATAGAATTTCCTTGTAGGTAAACTGTGAAATTCCAAGATCATTTCTTTAGGATAAATTATTACAAGTAAAAATGCTGAGATAAAAGGTAGGAATATTTGAAACTCTTAAGAAATCCTGCAAAACGCCTTCAACACTGGTTTTCACTCCCATCTCGAGCACAGAAAAGCAGCTGCTTCCCTACTTTAACATCAACACTGAACATTTCGGCCCGTATCTTCAAAAGTACATTCCTAAATTGTATAATATGAAGCAGGATCTTCTAGTTCACATGTTAAAATTATAGATGTTAATATTTAAAAGTACGTATACCCTAAGTATTAGAAGACAGTTGAGAAAGTTTCTTATTCTGCACCATACCTACTAACCAGCACCGTATTCCTTGAAATGGAAGTTTTAAAAATTTGGATGGGATCATTTGGAGTTCATCTGCAGTAACTTCTTCCATGTTCCCATAATCCACAAAATGGACTTTAATGTTTCCATCCAATAAGATTTCCTTGACTAAAGCACGATACCAATTACCATCACCTATAATTAACACAGAGTTTGTAAAACATGGAACATTATTTCCCCTCTCTTAACATTTGAAATTTTCATCTTCAAAAAAAAAAAAAAAATCCTTTGTCTAAAGTAACTAAATAAATTTGCTCTTTCTTTTAGATGATGCCTTTTTCATTCAGAAATCCCCAGAATTCTCAAAATCCATTTTTTAGAATACATCCAAAATTTTTATAGCACATTTTGACATCAGATGTAAATTAAAGATTCCATTCATCATGTATCCAATAAACAAAATGTGAAAGTGAAGGGAAGACTTCATAACCTTGAACATATCTGTCAATCTGGAAATCTTACGATACTCTAAGGACAAACTGTTTTACTTGGTATTAGTAAAATAATGTAAAGAGCAAATAGAAAAACACATGCAATGAAATTAAGGTGTTTCATAAAATATACTTTCAAACTAAACATGCACGGGGTGACCAGAAAAAACCATGAACCTGCAGTGAACAGGTTTCCCAATATCTAATTTACTTTAATATCAGAAATTCTGGAAAGAAAAGCATTTAACAAATTTTAACAAAGTTGAAGTAAGAAAGTTTCATTTGGAGGTTCCTTGCTACGAAGAGAAGAGAAAACATGATACTTTAAGCATTCATTTAGTCTTGTGAGAAATATTTGCTTAAACATCAGGAGGAAAATACACATTAAAAAAATAAGGGCTGAATGTCAGGAAACAAAAGTCTCTATCAATGAAGTCATGATTCTATCAACTGCAACTTACCTGCAAAAGAAGCACAACATGGTCGCCCTATTTCGGCCTTAAAATCACTGGGCACCTTCTGCTGGCAATATTCTGCTAGTGACTTGTTCAAATCATTGAGTTTCTTTAAAGCTGAAAACAGAATACACATACAGCATTCAATATTTTAAAAGCATGCAGAATACAGATCTTCCTCTGAAGTTGGGAAATGTTCTGATCATGCAATCTCAGGTATATTCCCAAGCAACTATTAAGTACACACCAGATGCTTTTCTCTTTTCCTTATTAAAAAGTTAATTGGGAAAATAAGTCGTTATTAGTTAATGCTCTTAGTAATCCCCTACTATGGCACTGTCATCAGCATACCAGAGCATGAGCTTTGCACTGGGAGAAGGAAACTGTGTACAAGCCCGTACAGAAAGTGACATACAAGCTGTCCAGAAGGAGGACACATAAGCACTAAGAGGATGCACAGATGTCTGCTAAGGAAACGCAGAGAGGTGAGCTGTGTGTACTAAAGCTTTTACAGAGAAAGAGTACAGACAAGGAGAGGGTACTCCAGAAGGAAGAAATGGCTCTGAGGCAAAGTACAGAATTAAGCAGCCAAAACTTATTTGGCAGGAGCAGTTTGGCAAAGCAGGGAAGGTAAACCACTGAAGAACACAATAGCCATGTGCTGGGAAAGATACAAACCATGGAGAGCTTTAAAATGCTGAGGGGCGCCTGGCTGGCTCAGTTAGTTAAGTGTCCAACTCTTGATTTCGGCTCAGGTCATGATCTTAGGGTCCTGAGATGGAGCCCCACATCTGGCTCCCTGTTCAGTGGGGAGTCTGCTTCTCTCCCTCTTCTCTCCTTCTGCCCCCCACCCCCCGCATGCTCTCTTTCTCAAAATAAATAAATAAATCTTAAAAAAAAAAGAAGAAGAAAAGACTATGTGAACTTAGACATAGTGGATAAGACATAGTGGAAAATAAAAGTGCAAAAATCATTTATAATATTTTACCATTTATGCCTACATAAACAAGGATACATACATTCAAGCATATTCATAGAAAAGGTATTTATTATTTATTCTGAAAAGATTTAGAAAATTGAGAAAGGGACTGGGAAACTTACTTCCCACTATACATTCTTTTTAACTTTTGGATTTTGTACATATGCTTGTGTAATCACCTATGAAAATAAAAACTGACTTTAAAAATTTTTAATTTTATGCTATATGAAATAGTGGTCAATCTACTAGATGATTCTGAAAGGAGGGATGACAAATCTCACAAACTGGGAGTCAGACAGGGACTCAGGCACCTAGTTTAATGTCCTCATTTGATAGAGAAGAAAACCAAGATTTAGAAATATTAAAATTAAGGATGCTCACCACAATAGCTCAAATGAAAAAGAAGGAAAATACAAGTGTGAGGATGTGGAGAGACTAAAAGTCTCAAACTGACAGCTGTCATAATCACTTTGGAAACTTTTTGACATTCATTGATCAAAGCTGAAAATATAAATACCCTTTATGATATGGTCAGTAATTTCATTTCTGGGTATATATTCAAAAGAAACACATATCCATGTGCACCAAATTTGTATGGAAAAGTTCACACCAATATCATTTTATAGATCAGAACTAAAAATGACCCACATGTCCAACCTTATAAAGAAATAAATTTGCAGTGTCATTCACACAGCGGAACACAAGCTACTGCTACATATAAAAATGAAGAACTGACCTCACAATGTGAAAAAAAGGTGAGAAGGCACACAAGAGTACATACTGTATTATTACATTTACATAAAGTTCAAAACCAGGAAAACTATGCTATTAGAAGGCAGGATAGTATTTACTTCTTTTTTTTTTTTTTTTTTAGATTATATTTATTTGACAGAGACACAGTGAGAGAGGGAACACAAGCAGGGGGAGTGGGAGAGGGAGAAGCAGGCCTCCCGCAGAGCAGGGAGCCCGATGCGGGGCTCGATCCCAGGACCCCGGGACCACGACCCGAGCCGAAGGCAGACACTTAACAACTGAGCCACCCAGGCACCCCTAGTATTTACTTTTTAAAGAGAGAAGGGTAGTAATCAAAGGAGACATGGAGGAAACTTCTGGATTACTGGTAATGTTTCATTTCTTGACCTAGATGTTGGTCATTCAGTCTTTTAACTTTGTGATAATGTGTTATGCTGAACTATTTGTGCACTTACGTATATTCATGTTATGCTTTAATAAAATCAACCATTTACTTTTCAAAAATGAATTTAGAAGACATTCTACAAAATTGAAACTGGTTTAAATAAAAAGAAATTTTTTAAAATAGAAATAATGGCTTAAAATGGAATAAAATGCAATTAAGTATAACCAAATCTTTCTTATAAGTAGAAATATTCACTTGGCCCTTCTTGGAAAGACAGTACTTTTATTATTCAATAAACTCTTCTTCAGTTATTACCACACCAATGTATTTGTAAGAGAACTAAATGAGAAGAGTCCACTTACCATCCTCTTGAAGCACATGGCAATAAAATTCACCAGGACTGTACATCATACAGACCACAACATCCACTGTTTGGTCAACAGCAAGTTCAACCCATGTCCACTCCAATGGACTTAGTTTTGCTTCTATACCCAAGGGAACTGTGAAAAAAAAAAAAATGAACTTTTGCAAAATAAATGGTCAAAGTGGGGAGGGGAGGTAGGGCTGGTGAGGAATCTGCTTTTGAAGAACTGTATTTCCAGGGCTTTTAGTGACTTTACAAGACAGTTAATTTGTATTACAGTTAGCCGAAACTACCTCACTGAATTTCAAATTCACATTTCTGATTGATCCCTTCAGCTGCCAGTGACCCATAGGTTTTGTTTTTCAGTTTTCCAACACACTCATAATGTATTTAAATGTATTTAAATGAATGCTTGATTCAGAAAGACAGAAGACACTCAACATCCATTCTTTTTGAGAGCATGAGAACCCACACAAAGCCATCTGGATTCCAGCATGGACATTATCGAGAGCTTACTCACCGCTGGCTTCTTTCATAACACTGGGCTTCTCGGCCAGCACCCCAGTCTCCCAGACGGCAAAGCCAGCGTCTCTGAGTGCCTGAGCAATACTGAGGTGAGGCATCACAGATTCATCTACAAGCTCCACCAGGGAGCTGTTTTCCAGCTTGTCTGCCACTTTCACCGTGATCATTTTGTTCTGCACAATTTTTTTCATCAGACAAATAGCTTCTGGAGTCCAAATTCCTAATGATGGCTTTACTCCTATCAAAGAATTTTTAAAAGAATATTAAAATACTTCTTATAAAAGGATTTAGAAATTCAGCTCCTAATTTCCACAAAGTTAAATTTAAGGAACCTGACAAAAACCAGAACCAAAAAGTTCCACCTGAGCAGAAGGATTTTCTAATCATTAAAATGAAGGCAAAATTACAAAGAAAAAACCTATAGAAAACTGCTCTACTTCTATGTATACAAACAATAATTCCATTGATATGAAGTGTCCAGAAAAGAAAATCTTGAAGACAGATTAGTGATTGCCTGGGGAGCTAGGATTACTGATGGCGATAAGAAACCTCATCAGGGTGATATCTATACAACTCAGTAAATTTACTAAGAATCACTGAACTGAGACTGAGAATTTTATGGTATGTAAATTATATCTCAGGTAGTTAAGAAAGTCATAAACAAAAGTATCATCAAACAATCCAGAAAGAAATAGTGGTCCCTTACAATGACATAAAAAACATCAGCGGCACTTAAACTGCAAAGGCACTTGCAAATCAACAACCCAAGGTTATGCCTAGTCTTTTCATAAGAGCAAGTAACTTATGAAAAAAATGTTCAGTCTCATGGTAATAAAGTAATTGAAATGATTTAGTTTAAAACTTATCAAAATTGACCAATATGAACTAATACAGAGGTATCTATTTGGTGTACCAATGTGTGAAGGAATGGGCCCCCCCGCTCTCTTTCTGGTAGGTGTGTAAACTAGTTCTACCCTTTCTGGAGAAAAATCATAACATATATCACAAACATGAAGAGAAACATACCCACAGACACCTCCATTTCACCTGAGGAATTTTGTAGTACAACTATATTTTGCAGCCTATCCCAAGGAAATGATCTTGGATAGGTTGCAAAATGTAGTTAAAAGAACACTGCTATGGGGCACCTGGGTGGCTCGGTGCGTTAAGCGACTGCCTCCGGCTCAGGTCATGATCTCAGGGTCCTGCTCCCTCAGGTCAGGCTCCCTGCTCAGTGGGGAGTCTGCTTCTCCCTCTGCCCCTCCCCTCTGCTCATGCACTGTCTGAAATAAAATCTTTCAAAAAAAAAAAAAAAGAACACAGCTAGTAGCAAAAACCTGGAAATATTCTTCTGATAATAGGATACCAGTTCACGTGAATAGGATACCGGTATATGTGAATGAAGGTTAAGAGGCCAATTTATTAACGTGGAAAGAAGCCCTAGCTCCTGGTGGGATAAATTTTATATACAGTAATTTCTAAGCATATGTTCGAACATACTGTTTTTACAAGGAGGTTTTGCCCTACTTTGTGTAAAGAATCAGCTTCTATGATATTTATCAATAATACAGACTATAAACAGCAAAATTAATACTCAATTTCATAACCACAGGCACATTAAATTTTATTTTATTAGAGATAGCAAAGTAGTCCTGTGTATTTGAACTGTTCTATTAAGGATTATTTTTGCATTAAGAGAAGTTATATCCAAACACATTCTTTTATCTTCTGGGTAGTTTAATTTATTTCAATTCTAATGCTCTTACTTTAGGTTTTAGTATTTTAAGAATACGGGGACCACGAACATTTCATACCTGCCAGCACACACTTTATAGCTTGCATTGGCAATTCCAGCAACTTTGGAGTTATGGGACAGAGTCTTGTCAAACTAAGGATTTCAAAGTTTCCATAATCTACATATCCGACCAGTACAGACTGTTCAGAAGCATAAGCTAAAACAGAGGCACGGTACCACTGATCATCGTCTGAAAGAAGGAGAGATCCGTCTCAAATGATTTTCCAGTGCAGATATACACAAAAACTTTCTCTCCGAAATTTAGAGATGCTCATCTGTAGGTTTTACTTTAATAGAATATCAGGCTTTATTGAACAACGTATGCTTAGTCAGCATTGCTACTTCTGCTGCTCAGAAGCCTTTGACTCCTAGAATCTCCCCTTTATGTACACCTTACTAGACCACTCATGCCCTGGGTGGTCATGACTTACAACAGGCTTGGTCTCCCCTGCAGACAGTTAACTCATTAGGACAGAGAATGTGTCTGGGTCTTGTGAACAAATCCACAATGATGCCTTGATCAAACAGGAACAATTTGCTAAGCGTCAAGCAGGGCTAATTTTAGAATACCTGGCAGTGAGGGTCAACCAGACCCCACCGACCAAGCAATCTGTTTACTGGAGGCCCACTTGCATCTCCCCTTCTGTGAGGCCACTGACTTGTTTCCCTCCAGCAGGGAAGAACTGAAGCCAGTTATCACAGCTGTGCCATGACGGCTCCGTGCTTCCAGGCCCTCTTGCTATTCCCAGGAAAACTGGTGAAGACAGGATCCTGGAAGATTCCACATTCACATCCTGAGGTCAACATTATCTGCACCAGTCCCCAAAACTAAAGGGCTGATAAAACAACAGAAACTTCCTTTACCAACTCCTCCAGGATTCACAGGCCCTCTTCCCTTGCACACTTGGATTCAGTTTAACTGTACATATTTAAATGACTGGTGTGCTCTAATTGTCAAACTTCAAATGCAGCCATCCAGTGCAAACTGAAGATTGTTTCATTTATTTTTACTTCATTGTAACTAAAAAAAAATCAGTAATACTCTTCCCTCACCTGAGAATTGCGCACAACAGATATCACCAATTGTTGGATAAAAATCTGAGCGTGGAGGCACTTGACCACAGTACTCGCTGAGAGATGCCTGAAGTTCAGCGAGCTTATCTGTAGATACAGATCACATCTTAAACACAAGAAATACAAATCTACACATCATCTTCTTTTTCACATGTTGTCTCTTGAAGGACATAGGTTATCCTGACAGCACAAATCAAGAAAATTTACTTACGTCCGCTTTGCAGCTGTTGACAAAAGAAGTCTTCTGGAGTCTGAATGTGGGCAACCACACCACAAAACTCATCGCCTACATTCAAAGTTAACACTTTCGGGATTAAATCACTTCTATCCACAACAACTTTGTTTTCAGCTGTCATTTTTCCAACATCCTCAAGATCATCTTGACAAAAAACAGAAAAACCAAGGCATTTTGTTTCATTAATCTACTTTTGCAGCTTTTCAGGCCCAATCATGCTCAACACCTCTAGGCCTTAACACATGTTATTCTTCCTTCCCAGAACACACTCCCAATCCCCCAGCAACCTGGTTATTTCTTGCTCAGTGTAGTGTCACCTTGAAAAGACTCCTCTTCTAACCCAGGTTAGGTGCCCGTCCAGGTGCTCCCAAGGCAGTTTGCGTGCACTTCCTCTCTCATACCATTTTATCATCTCTTCTCTATGTGTCTGCACTGACCACAGAATACCCTCCATGAAGGCACCTCCACAGACCCTCAGTGAAGCAAATACTGCCCAGAAGACTTTTGTTCCTTCCACTGGATACCTCTGCAACACTTGCTATTATTACTGATAACTTCCTCCTAGAAGCATTCACCCTCCTGTTGCTCTGGCAACTTTGTCCCTATTCTCTATCCACCTCTCCCATCATGGCTTCTCACTCGATGTTGTAGGCCCCAGGTTTAGCTCCCCTTTTTTTCCCCGACTCCACACTCTCCCTAAGACACCACCAGCAGTTATGGTTTCAACTATTAGACCAGTAAGTGTTTGGTTTTCTCCTCTAGATGGCAAAGAATTACTAAAAACTTTTTGTCAAAGCGGTCATACCAAAATTCGTGTTTTGAGGATATCGTGTATGCAGTACTGTAAGAATACAGACAGCAGACAAAAGGTAAAGTCAGAGAAAGTTGTTGCGATAATCCACAACTGGTAAGGATTCCTGAACTAGAAAATAGTAAGGAAAAAAAGGATTTTAAAAAATAAAAAAGTCATACAAAGGATATTCAGGAAGAAGAACCAATGAAGACTTGGCAACCAATCAGACAAGGCAAAGGACAGGAGGTAAGGATAAGGTAGATTTAAAGATAAGTCAACCTTGTTTATATGGAAGGATGTACCTAATCACAGCACCATTAGCCTGGCAATCACCTCTGGATGAATGAGCAAGAGACAATGAAGTATGTCTGCATCCAAAGTAACCGGTAAAGGAACAAAGGAAAGAAGAAAACATGGCAACAAATAACACATAAAACTAGGCAATGAGACAAATGCTGGTAGCAAAACTTCTTGCTTCTCTTGTTATACTACATGGAAAAACCACATAGAGGGAAAATTAAACTAAGGAAATGTTAACTAAAAACCCTTCAACTCGGGGCGCCTGGGTGGCTCAGTCGTTAAGCGTCTGCCTTCGGCTCAGGTCATGATCCCAGGGTCCTGGGATCGAGCCCTACATCGGGCTCCCTGCTTGGCAGGAAGCCTGCTTCTCCCTCTCCCCCTGCTTGTGTTCCCTCTCTCGCTGTGTCTCTCTCTGTCAAATAAATAAATAAACGATCTTTAAAAAAAAAAAAAAAACCCTTCAACTCAAAGTGTCATGATATTAAGTACTTTAGAGATTTCTGATGATCATCATGTCAGGGGTTAATACGGAAGACAGGCAGGGAAGACTAAGATTAGACAATGTACTACTACATGAAAAAAAAAGTATCTTTCTTGCATAAAGGTTAAAGAATGGCTATCATTTCCATTAAATGTAACAGTGTGACAGGTCTGCCTTTGTGTGTTTAGTAGAGAAGATATTCTTCAATACCTACAGTCACTATACTGTTCAGTATTAATCTGTATACTCACTTGGATCTGCACTTTGCTTCTTAGAATTTTGTCCCTTGGGTTTCAAGCCATATCCCATTTCTATGAGCACATCATCTAAGAATTTTCCTAAAAATGATTAAGAAAATGTATCCCCATTGAGATACTATACCAAGTATTAGAAGAAAGGTATAAACATGAAACAAATGAATCACAACCATGTGTTCTAGAGATTATAGTTATTAATACACTGACCTATTTCTTACCAGCTCAGTTTGTGTGCAAAATACAGTTTACTAATGCCCAGCCTTAAAAATAGAGACAAAATTCCCATTGTCATGTGGCAGAAAATTTTATAAAAATATTTTACCTCAAAATTCTGGATAACATTAAAGGTTTAGTTGCCACCTCACTTGCATGCTTAGTATGGCCACCATTTATGAGAAAAAAAAATTTAGTGTTAAGCTAAGACTACTTTTTCTCAGACATAAAGTATGGCTGAAACAAGGGGTAGCCAGCATGACATAAACTTCAAATTCCTTGAAATACCATCCAGAAGCCTGAGTCATAATACGAAACATACACAGCAAAGAAAGAAGATAGATTTTATATTTAATTTCACAAAAGATTTAACTGAATTTTCTACCAAGTCACCAACAGATACCAGGTCTCTAAAAGTAGAAGAGTGATACCTTGGAAACTGAGATGCAATTATTAGCACACGGTCAGAAGTCACTTTTCAAACACAAAGAAAGGTTTCCATCTCCACACTTAAATACTAGTCACTTACAGTCTCAATACTAACCAAACACAGTTCTGTGACGATTCTTCAAGGAAAAAGCACTCGTGGTGAAAGCATGGACAATTTCATAAGGAAATTCTTGAATTTTTCTCCATAAATGAGTAGAAATCAGGAATGGTGATCATAATGGCCATATCAAAAGGCTAACACAGTCATCCCCACAGTAAGTCTGCATCTAGCCTTGAAGCCACCAGCTCCATGACCCCATGCCGGGTCTCTGAAAGACTGCCAACTACAAGCGCAGGGTTAAAGCCATACTTTCATCACACCCTGAAGGACTTCCGAGTGGAGCTTACTTGGCCTCATTTCATGTTTCTATTTCTTCTCTGCATAACAGGTGAAGACTAAACAACACATTAAGTGCTCCATCTAAGAAAGATTTAGATCTTACCTGAACCTGGCAGCATAACATCCACAGCAAAGGTAACCACTTCTTCTTCTAAGATGTTGACAATCTTTATAGAGCAGTACTGCTCCATTAACAGTGATTTAATAGTTTTGACACATTCATTGCTCCAATTCCCCTCTGCTGGGATAACATTGGCCACAAAGCACTTTATGGCCTGAAAGATTTTATGTCAGTTACTAAAAAATTAGTATTTGAAAATAATTTTGTCTAATTAATAACATGAAGATTTTTTAAAGATAATATATTTGACACTGAAAATTTATCAGAAATCTTCAAGAATTAAGCAAATAAACAATTTTATGTGTAATTATTTGTCTCTTGTGCTACTATATCCACAGTGCTTTTCCTTTTGGGACTTGAAGCTTAAGAAATTCATGAAAGAATTATTATCCCTCAAATACATATAAATTCAGGTTGCTTCCAGACAACATAACAAACATAGAAATGATTGTTTTAAAAGAAGAGATGGATAAGATGTCCCTAAAAAATGCTAAGTTTCTCATCTAAGGAAGTATTAACTAAATAAGGCTTCTTAAATGGATCCAAGAAAGCCAATGAGTATTTATCTACATTTAGTAAAACATGAAAAATATACCAATAGGTACTTTTTTATAATACATCACAGATTAGAGCAAATATTGTGACCATCAAAATATTAAAAACAGCTCTCTGGGGACACTATTAGGAATTTAGAAAGTAAAAAAGACTCACACATGGAGGAAATAAGTCAATGTTTCTATTTAGTTGGTGAATTCTGTTTACTGGAATTATTTCTTCATTTCCATAATCAATATATAAGACTTGTGCCTTCTTCTGCAGCATATCAATATCTTGTATTATTACTCTGTTCCAGGTCTGAAAGTGGAATATAATGGTGCTCTGCTTCAAAACCATATTTCACAATTTTAGGCTTAAAAACTCTCAGCCAATCTACAGGACATACAAGGAAAGGCTACAGTTCTGTTCTGAGGCACTCAATTAACAAGTTAATCTTCTAAGAATCTGGCTAAGAAATCCCTAAATTTGTCTATTTAGGAGACTTTAATGTGCACAATTATTCCCGGGTTAGTCTAGCCCAGGAGACACTACGACACACTAATGCCTCAGCTACAGAAATAAACACAAGCTGCAGGACTCGCCATCAGTCTGTAACTAGCAGAAGAGGAGCCCATAAACAGAGCTGGAGGGCGTCACCCAACAGACTTACAATACCGACAGGACAAGAAATGGGAATGTGACAACAGCCTCTGGTTAAGCCAGCAAATGCATTATTAAAAGCTCTGGTGTCGAGTTATAGGACCAAAGTATATTAAAACATCATAGTAAATAATTCATTTCATCAGCAGTTACCTGATCAACAGTGTACTTGGCAACACAAACTTCCCCCTTAACAGGAATGTAATCCTCCTCCTGAGCTGTATTTGCATAGGTTTCCTTTAAAGTCGCAGAGAGTTGGTTCATGTATTCTAAAACTTCTGAAGAACATAACTGCACGTAAAAGTCATTTGGGTGTTTGAATTCAGTAACTGTACCCTTTCAAGAGACAAAAAATGTGCAATAATTCACTGAGAACACAAGCAAATGTGAATTTCTTAAAGCTTTCTAACAAGATTGAAAAGTTATAAGACAGTTTTTGCAATCAATTTCATCAGTTACATTTTGAAGTTATCTTATAAGCTCAAAGTAAAAACAGAAAACAAGGGAATAAAAATCTATAGTTCTTTGGATCTCTGTCTATAGAAATTAAACAACAAATACCTTTATTTCCATGGTTTTCCTGAGTTGTAGACTTCTCAAATCAGAAAACATTATTTTATCAGCACAAATGGCTATTTCTTTAGTAACTCCAAGAGGATAGTCACCCTGGGTTTAAAAAAAACAAACCGTATGAGTGAGTTACTTACACAAGCACGTGTTTCAGGGGTACTGTGGCCACCATTTGCTGGAATTAAGGCCAAAACAGCCCCTGAGGCTTGAATAAGAGAGCAGAGAAATAGTGTATACCTTCAAGAGCCAATGAAACCCACTGTCCAAAGGCAGTGTACACAGCAATGGGATCACTCAAGAATCAGGCCATAATGGTGATGATAATGTTGAGTTTATAAAATAAAAAGGGGGGGGTTAGTGTTTTAAGTTTGCACTTGTTAACATGTTAAAAGAATGAATATTTGAGGAAGTCAGATTTTTTTAAGTAGAAGCTAGGACCAGCTAGAGAAGCCTAAAAATTATAGATGAGCTGAGTACTACTGATATTTTTCAGATTATGAATGATTTAGCCCACATAGTTATCTAAATGGAAGAGGGGTATTACAGAAAAAATGCTGCTTCGATACGAGGGCAGTATACAAAGAATGCAGTACACAAAGCCAGAGAACGTGTGCATGCGGGGACCACAGAGAAGAGCTCTCTCTCAGGAATCCAGTGATTTTACACTGAGACACAGGCATCTCATCACAAGTCCTTCTGGGAAGTGCTGGGCACACACAATGCTCAAAAATCCCCAAGAGTCACCCAATCAATCATTAAGGTGTACATATTTATTCAATAGGAAACTTTTGTTTTTAAATAAACACTGGTGCAGGGGCGCCTGGCTGGCTCAGTCAGAGGAGCCTGCGACTTGATCTGGGATCTCGTGAGTTCGAGCCCCATGTTGGGGGTTGGAGATCACTTGAATAATCACTGGTGAAATGGAGAAGTCATAAGTATTTTATTTAGCTTAAGTCCTCTTAATTCAATGAAAGGAAATCATTCAAAATTCTAAAGGCAAAAAGTACATCATACCTCATTTTTCACTTGCATGTTCTTTGTTTCAAAAGGTGATTTACTATCTTCACATTTGTGGAAACTGAAATAAAGCAGCTGATTATAATACTTATAGTACAGAGCCAATTAAGAGTAGGGGCCACAATGATTGAGTCTCAATCATCAAAATCCAGGAGAAAAACAGCTTCCTTCAGAGAGTATCACAGTAGTAACAAAGCAAAATAGTCCAAGGCTGGCTATGCAACAGTCTACCCCTGTGTGCGGGCTTGCCTCTTCCAAAGCCACCTAATTAAAGGGACATACACAGCCACGATCTCCAAGCCCCAGCTTTCTTATCTACAAAATGGAGATAATCCCTACATGACCTCAACAGTTTTGAGGATCGAATGAACTTATAGATGTGAAACTGCTTTGTAAACTGGTATATGCCATGCCAGTAAGATTTTCATATTTTAAAATCACAATTCATGAGGCACTGTGAGAGTTCTACCTTATCAAAATTCAGGAAAGAACACATGATTAAAAGGCATTCTAAAGCTCTAATTATTACAAACACAAACTTAAGAGTTCTAACTCTGAATATGTACTAATAAAATTATATTCATGAAAACTCAGTCCTAAATTTGTAAGCTCTTCATTTCAGATTTGCATCCTTTATGTTACACCTCAGTAAATAACAACTTCTACATAGTTATGGCCTGCTTACCTCATTTGATCCTTACCACATCAAAAAAAAAAAAATCCTTTTAAATATTCTCTAATGAATAAAAATTATACTTACTTTTGTTGAACAGGTTTGCACACGATGCTGTGTGCTGACCAGTCCCTTCTCTGGCATGCTATGGAGCAATAGTATGTCTGCTTGCACTGTGAACACCTCAGCGATCCTACAGAACACAGCCCGTAACATCACCAGTGTTTTACTCCAAGTATTTGTTGCTGAGAGCAAGACATTTTCAAAGACCAGACATATCAATCACCATTCTATTAATCACATCAAGAAGATTACTTGAAGAGGATTATGCTGTTTATGATTAGGCGTTAAGATTAAATTCTTAAAGCTCTCTCAAATTGCAAATACGAATGCAAAGGTGAAAATGAAAAGGACAGACTGAAAACCTAACTACCTTAAAGTAGAGCCCAGAACATTATAAAAGGAACAATCAAAGGAAATAGAAAATGTGTGGTAGTGAAAACAGACTTGTGCAAGCAGACTCTGACATGGCTTATTACCTCGTGCCATTAAAAAAAATACAAAACAAAAAACCAATGAAGAGAATCACACCCAGAAAAACCCGGGAGGTTTTTTTAAATAAAGTATTAAAAAATCCTATGAATAATACAGGCAGGAAAAAAAACCACATAAAACAACAACAACAAAAAACTAGGCTGGCCTCGAATGCTTCTACTCAAAAAAAGAAAAAAAAAAAAAAAACAACTAAATATCCAAATAGCCAGTAAGCACATGAAATACTGCTCAAGATCATTCACTGATCATGAGGGAAATGCAAGTTAAAACCACAATGAGATACCAGTACACACCCATGAGAAGGGCTAAAGTTGAAAAGACCAACAGCACCAAATGACAGAGATGTGGAGCACGCAGAACTCATTATCATTGGGAATGTAAAATGGGACAACTACTTAGGAAAATGGCTTGGCTGTTACCTACTCTTTGACTCAGCAATTATACTCGTAGGTATGTTCCCAAGAGAAATGAAAACCTATATCCACACAAGGACTTATACAAAAATGTGGAGAGAGCTCTATTCATAATAACTAAAAGCTAAACACAAACTTAAAGGAAGCAAAAATGTTCAATAAAAAAACAGATACACTGTGATATAATCATACAAATACTACTCAGCAACAAAAAATAGTGTACACAGAACATGTACTAATATCAAAAATACTATTCTAAAAGAAAAAAAAAGCTTTACACATAAGAATCAATAAGATACCATTTATATGAAGTTTTAAAAGTGGCAAAATTAATTTATGGTTTAAAAAAAACCCACTGTGGTTGCCTCCAGCATCCAGAGAGACTAGAAGGGGCTAGGAGGGAATTTTCTAAGAAGATGGAAATATTCTGTATCTTGATAGGCGAGTGAGTTTGTGCATGCCAATGCATGTAAATTTTATCACAAACAAAACTACAGGAAATAATAATCGAGTAAGGAAGCAGCAAGAGTGGAAAGGTACGGATGGATGAACAAGAACTGTAGGATGCTGGTAGCTGCTGAAGCAGAGAGATGGGTATACAGCACAGATACACTATTCTGTTCATACTTAATATTTTTGAACTTTCCATAATAAAAATATTTTCAAATGTGTGAAAGAGACATGTTAGGGAAATATGCTTACCAAACAGGCCACAGCGATGGCAAGTTGTTGACCGAAAAGGAGGTCCTAAGGAGTTGAAGAGTGCTGAATTATTTATGGACAAGGAATTCTCAACCAACTTGTGTATTTTTTTTGACTTTGCAGGAGGCACGTTATTGCTAGGCTTCTATTAAGAAAAGAGAATAGCAATATTAAAACTTGGTAGTAATTTTTTTGAAATACTGTATTTGGGATTTCCTCTTCTGGACAGATAAAAGACATGTACCTTTCCCTATTCCTCCCATTACATGCTACTAAAAAACCCTGGACTTATATATAAACAAACATAAGCTGATTTTGACAAGGCAGCAGCACACAGGCTAGGAAACTTGGGACCCAGAGAAGAACAAGACAATGAGTTTCTTGATTTTTCTTTTTGCTTCACATATCCCAGACACGGTGCTGGAGAAGCCAGCAACCCAAAATGCCAAACAGTACAGATAATAAAGTCCCCAACAGAAAGTCTACTCTCTTTAGCCAAAGACCAGGAAACGGGCAGCCCAGCAATACAGAAAACCAGTACCTGTTCTACCCTAGACAAACACCACAGAAAACACTGTGGCCCTGTTCTAGAGCAGGGAGCTGGCACTTTATCCCTGGGAGTCTCCCCAGCAGGTACGAGTGTTCCCCCTACCCCAACCACCATCATTGGGGTGGTGGAAGAGGAGACCCAGTGGACAATCAGAACTTTTCACCACCATTCAAAAGTAATGAGTGTCTCTCAACTCTCCCCCTCTAATTCTCCTCCCTGGCCCACCCACTCTCTTCCCACTCCATCCCACTCCCATATCAGTAAAGAGGCACTCATAACTCCCAGCCAGGGAGGAGGTATCACATGAGGCCTACCTGGAAGCTGGAACTCCCACCCTCACCCCAAAGCAAGGGAGAGCACCATCTTGAGTGCCAACTGAGGCTGAGTGGGGCACCTGGACCATCTACTCCCACCTGGCAGCACCCACCTTCCTCTGGTATAGGGTCAGAGGAAGCTAGCTAAAACAAAGTTTAAATAAGATACAGAATTTCATTAACATAATACCCCAAATGTGCCAGTTTCAATAGAAAATAACTTGTCTTACTAAGAAAAAGGAAAATCACAATTGAATGAAAAAAAAAAATATCAACATCAAACAGCAAGTTTGACAAACATTTTAAAGCAGCCATCAATACTTCAATAAGCAATTATGAGCACACTTGAAACAAATGAAGAGAGTCTCAGCAAAGAAATAGAAGATATAAAGAAGAACCAAATGGAAGTTTTACAACTGCAAAGTAAAACAACAACAACAAAAAACACACAACGAGGAACGCCATGGCAGAATGAGAGAATAGAGGTAAGGATCAGTAAACTTGAAGAATGAACAATAGAAACTGCCAAGTCTAACAAGAGAGAAAAAACAAAGTGGAGAAAAGACTAAATTAACAGAGCCTCAGAGACCTATGGGACTATAACAAAATATTTAACATTCATGTCTTTGGAGTCCCAGGATAGGAAAAAGGCAGGGTGAAGTAGTTCTCAAAAAAATGCCCCATACTTATAAAATTTGGCAAAAGATATAAATCTACAAATTCAAGCTGAGCAAGTCCCAGACCAAATTAAAGAAATCCATACCAAGATGCATGTAGTCAAACTTCTTCAAGCTAAAGACAAAAAAGATTAAAAGTAGAGAAAGGGAAAGGACATCTTACTTACAGGGGAAAAAGTAATTCAGAAGAGAATAGATTTCTCAACAGATACCACAGAGAGCAGAAGGAAGTAATACATCTTTCAAGTGCTGAAAGAAGAGAACTGTTAGCTGAGAAACTTATCCAGGAAAAGTATCCTGCAGGAATAAAGAAGAAATCAAGACATTCCCGAATGAAAGAAAACTAAGAATTTGTCACCAGCAGACCTATCCAAAAAGAATGGCTAAAGGACGTTCTCTAAATATAAAGGAAATAAAGGAATGTTGGAACAAAAGGGAAGGAAGAACATATTAAGCAAAAATACAATAAGCATTATGGACTTAATAGAATACAAAAAAACTGAAGCAAAATGAAACTGAAAAGAGAAATAGACAATACATAATTATAGTTAGAGACCTTAATATCCCTGTCTCAACAATTAATAGAACTACATAGAAAATCAGCAAGAATACAGAAGAACTCGAGATCACCATCAACTAATGGATTCTGTTAGACATTTATAGATCATTCTACCCACCACAAAATGGACATTCTTTTCAAGTGCTAACAGAACATATACTAAGACCACACACTGGGCCATAAAGCAAAGCTCAACAAATTTAAATCACACAGAGGGTGTTTTTCAACCACAGTAGTCTCAAACTAGAAATAAGTAACCGTAATTAACAAATAATCTTCAAACATTTGAAAACGATGTACTTCTAAAAAACTCATGAGTCAAAGAGGAGGTCTCAAAGGAAATTTAAAAAAAATGTTGAACTCATAGAAAATGAAAACATAACAAATCAAAATTTGTAAGACACAGTTAAAGGACTGCCAAGAGGTAAATTTATAGCACTAAGTTCACACATTAGAAAAGAGGGAAAGTCTCAAATCAATAATCTAAACTCCCATCTTAAGAACCTAAAAAATAAGAAAAAACATGCCCAAAGCAAACAGAAGGAAACAAAGATAAAAGGAGAAATCAATGAAATTAAAAATAAAAACTTGGAGAAAATAAAAAAATCAATGAATCATGATTTCAGGGTCCTGAGATCAAGCCCAGGTCAGGCTCCCCACTCAGCAGGGAGACAGCTTCTCCTTCTACCTCCCCCCAGCGGCCTCCCCCCCCCCCACCCAGCTCCTACACACACTCTCTCTCTCAAATAAATATTTAAAAAAAAGATCAATAAAATCGATCTAGCAAGACTGTTTGAAAAATAAACAAGACAGAAATTACCAATATCAGAAATGAAACAATGTATACCTTACTATAGACCCTGAAGACATAAAAATAATGGAATACTTAGAACAACTCTACACATTCAGATTTCATGACGTAGCCAAAATGGACCAATTCCTCAAACACCACAAATTATCACAATATGAAAGAGATAATATGAATAGTCCTATAAATATTAAAGAAATTGAATAATCTTAAAACACCAAAAAAATAAATCTTCACACTTACATGGTTTTCACTGGAAAATACCAAATGTCTAAAGAATTAACACCAGTCCTATACAACTTCTCTTTCAGAAAGGTAATACTACCTTGGTTCCCCAACCACACAAAGACAGTAAGAAAGAGAAAATTATAAACTGCTTATAAAAACAGATGTAAAAATCCTACTCAAAATGATACCAAATATAATTCAGCAATATACAAAATTAACTATACACCATGACAAAGTGGAGTTTATTCCAGGGATGCAAGGCTGGTTAAATATTTTAAAACATCAACAAAGGGCACCTGGGTGGTTCAGTCAGTTATTCAGCTCAGGTCATGATCTTGGGGTCCTAGGATCGACCCCCACATCAGGTTCCCTGCTCAGTGGAGAATCTGCTTCTCCCTCTGCCTCTCCCCCCAACCCCCACTTGTGCTCTCTCTTGTGCTCTAATAAATAAAATCTTTAAAAAATAATTAAAAAATAAAAAATCAATGTAATCCACCGTATTAACAGGTTAAAAGATCAAGTATCAATGGATGAAGGAAAAGCATTTAGAAAAGCTCAACACCTAGTCATGATCAAAACTATCAAAAAAGTAGGAACAGAAAATTTCAACAAGTTGATAAGGATCATCTACAAAAATCCCATAGCTAACAATACACTTAATAGTGAAAAGACTCAATGCTTTCCACTGAGTTTGGAAATAAAGCAAGATATCCACTGTCACCATTCTTACTCAACACAGAGCTAGAAGTTCCAGCCAGTGCAATAGGCAAAAAAAAGGAAATATAAAGCATATATACTGAAAAGAAATAAAACTGTTCCTATTTGCAGAAGATAAAATTGTCTATGTAGAAAATCCCAAGGAATCTACAAAAAAAATTCTCAAGAATAAGTGACTTCAGTAAAGTCACAGGGTACAAGAGAAACATGCAAAACCATATTTATATATATGAGGATATGTGGAAATAGAACCTGAGGATATGTGGAAATAGAAACTATAACAGCATTTACAATCACTAAAAAACAAAAAAACCATGTGTAAATATAACTGTGCATAGAACATATAAGCTGAAAACCACGAAGTGAAAGAAATCAAAGAAGATTTAAATAAACGGAGAGATTACATTCATGGACTGGAAGATTCAACACAGTAAAGATACTGATAATCCTCAATCCTTATACAAGTTTAAATCAATTACTATTGGGACACCTGCGTGGCTCAGTCGTTTAAGTGTCTGCCTTTGGCTCAGCTCAGGTCATGATCCTGGGATTGAGTCCTGCATCAGGCTCCTTGTTCGGCAAGGAGCCTGCTTCTCCCTCTGCCTGCCTCTTCCCCTGCTTGTGCGTGTGCGCACTTTCTCTCCCCCCCTCTCCGACAAATAAAATCTTTAAAAAAAAAAAAATCAATTACTATCAAAATCTCAGCAAGACTTTTTGCAGATATGGACAAGATTATTCTAAGATGTATACTGGAAGGCAGAGGAAATATACTAGCTAAAACAATTTTGAAAAAAAAAAAAGAAGTGGGAGAAATCACTGTACCCAACTTCAAGACTTATTACATAGCACCAGTACTGTGATAATGGTGGAGGGATATATAAATTTTTTTTTTTTTAAGATTTTATTTATTTGAGAGAGAGAGAATGAGAGACAGCATGAGAGAGAGGAGGGTCAGAGGGAGAAGCAGACTCCTTGCTGAGCAGGGAACCCGATGTGGGACTCGATCCCGGGACTCCAGGATCATGACCTGAGCCGAAGGCAGTCGCTTAACCAACTGAGCCACCCAGGAGCCCCAGATGGAGGGATATATAGACAGGTCCACGGAAAATAGAATAAATATGCCTAATTTTTGACAAAAGTGCAAAAGCAATTCAGTGGAGGAAATATAGCATTTTTAACAAATGGTGGAGAAATTGGAGAAAAACAAAACAAACTTCAAATTAACTCAAAATGGACAAATCTAAATATAAAACTATAAAACTTTTTGGAAAAAAAGCCCCAAATTTTCTGGATCTGAAGTAGCAAAGAATTTCTAGACCTGACACAAAAAGCAAAATCCATAAAAGGAAAAGTGATCAGGACGTCATTAAAATTAAAAACTTGTGGTCTGCTAAACCACAACTCTGGTAAGAGATTGAAAAGACAAGCTACAGACTGGGAGAAATCATTTGTGAATCACATATTTGACAAAAGATTAGAACTTAGAACATATAAAGAACTTTCAAAACAGAGTAAAAAAAAAACCCAAATTAGAAAATGGACAAAATACATGAGTAAACATCTCATCAAAAATGAAACAGAAATGGCAAATATGCACATGAGAAGATGTTTATCACTAGCCATTAGGGCAACAAAAATTAAAACCACTACAAAATATCACCACATGTCTATGAGATTGGGAACAATAAAACCACCACCAGCACCACATGCTGGTGTGATGCTGCAGATATTCTCAGTGGGAACATGCAATGGTATAGCTCTGCTGGAAAATGCTTCAGTAGCTTCATAAAAAACTAAATATGCAATACTCCATGACCCAGAAATTGCACTCCTGGGCATTTAACCCAGGGCAGAAACAAACAAAAACAAAAAACTTATGTTCACATCAACCTTGCACATGAAGGTTTATAAGAGTTTTAACTGTAATAGCCCAAAACTGGAAACCGTGCAGGGGCACTTCAATATGTGAATGTTAAACCACGGACTACTTTTCAGCAATAAAAATAAAACTACTGATACAACAACCCTAGATGAATCTCCAGGGAATTATGATGAGTGAATATATCCAATCCCAAAAAGTTACATACCGTAGGATTCCATTTATATAACATCCTTGAAATGACAAAACTTTGGATGTGGATTAGATTCGTAGCCTCCATGGGTTAAGGAGGTGATAGGGGCAAGACGGAAATGGATATGACCATCAAAAACATGTAAGGGAAAGATGGGAATGTTCTGTATGTTGACAGTATCACTGTCAACATCCTGGTTGTCATATTATACTAAATTCCGCAGCACATCACGCAGGGAGAAACAGAAACAGCTACACAGGATCTGTATTATTTCTGCATGTCAATAGCAGGGCTGCACTTACAATGGCATAGCATACTACAATCACCTAAAAAGAACTGATTTTTTTTTTAAAGATACTAGGATAAAGAAAAGGAAGCTTGACCTTCAGTAATATCTGAAAATTGAGTAATTCTTCATTAACACAATACAAAATATGTTTAGAATCTTTTACATCCAAACAAAAACACAAAATAGAAAAAAACCAAAACCTTACACTATTTACTTCTTTGAGTCGTGAACTGTTTCCAGCATTTAATGGTGACACTGAGTTTCCTGGAGAGAGAAAACATAAAAGTCAAATATTACTTTATTCCTGAAAATGTACAATATCATAATAGATACTCAAATAACAAAGCTATACCATAATAGCCTTAAACCTACACTACAAATAAGCAACAACCTACTTTTTCTAATGAAAAATAAGGATTTGTTTGAAACTTAATTACTATTCCTCTTATGGTGAATTTATCTCCATTCACTGAGGCAGCAATTCTGACTTTTTTGAACCCTGGACTCATTTACACACTTAGAAATTATTGAGAACCTCAAAGAGATTTTGTTTATATGGCCTATGTCTGTCAATATTTACCAATATTAGAAATTAAGGGGCGCCTGGCTGGCTCTGTCAGAAGAGCATGTGACTCTTGATCTCGGGATCATGAGTTCAAGCCCCACACTGAGCATGGAGATTATTTAAAGAAAAAAAATGTAGGGGCACCTGGTGGCTCAGTTGGTTAAGCATCCAACTCTTGATTTTGGCTCAGGTCATGATCTCAGGGTCCTGAGATTGAGCCTGCGTGGGGCTCTGTGCTGGGTATGGAGCCTGCTTAAAATTCTCTCTCTCCCTCTGCCCCTCCTCCCCATAAAAAACTGTTAAAAAGAAATTAAAATTAGAAATTTTAAACTTCTAAAAATTAAAAACATTTAAAAATAAATGCACGTTGACATGATTTTTGTTTTTAAAGCAACTTCATTTTCCAAAGCAAAAAAAAATTGTGAGAAGAGTAGCACTGTTTTACATTTTTGTAATGTTTGGTTTAACTCATGGTAGTTGGATTCACATACCTGCTTTTGCAGTCAATCCCCTGTGTTGCTTTGGTTGAAGTCTATGAAGAAAATCTGGCCTCTCACAGATACGTGGTTGCAAAAAGTAGTATTTAATAACAGCTTTCTCAGATAATTATGGGTATTTTCCTTTAACATCATGCCAAAACTCAAGTCATAGTTTGAGGGGTAGTTGCAATGTGGAATCTAAAACTTTTTCATAATGTGACATTGGAATCCACTGATTTATCTTGCACTTTAAGTAGATTTTTACCCATGCATAACTGGGCAACATCATGCATTGGTCATTTGGGTAAGACTGAGAAACTCTGAGTTATGCAGATCTTCCAAATGTGGACAGATTTCATTACACAATATTTTAAAAATCATGTGTGTTAGTTAATACCACCACGCATCTCACTGTTAAAGTCTAGGTATTGAGAAGCTATCACACAGAGTGGCAGATATGGGTTTCCTGAAATTCTCATTTTTGCTCAAAAGCTTGAATTTTATCATTAGCAACAAAGTACTGTCAGGTGTTTTCCTTGAAGTGACAGGCTCACTTTGTTCATTTTTGAGAAAATGAATGCTAGATACCTGAGTAGCATTTGTCATTCTTTTCAAGTAAAAATGATGTTCCAAGAAAAAATTTCCGTACATACAGCTTACAACTCAATCACACACACACTTTTCCTACCTCCCTATGAAGCAGAAGTTAGGGGTAATTCCTATTTTCTTACACAAAATACTAAAAATATCTGTACACAAGTGTCAAAATTTAGTAGTAATTCTTAGTGCTTTGTCAAGGACAGCCCTCAGTAAGGTTCTGGCTTTGTCTTAACCACAAGTTCACAGCAATGAAAAACCCAATGACCACTGGCCCAGGCAGGGAGGAGCTAACGAGGCATATTATTGGTTTACCCACCTTTGCTTTTGCACCATCGGTGTAAAGTCAGCACAACAAAAAAGGCAAATGATACTTTAGTATTATCGGGAAAATAGTTTTGACCTCTTGGGAAACCCCAGAGGCCCAAAGGCCACACACCAGAACTACATTACCATAACAGTAAAAGATCACATCCGATATACACTCACCAGGCCTCCCCTCCCCATTCAAAACCAGGGTTTTGGAATTAGGACTAAAGCAACAATTTTTTAAAAATCTAACGAAACAATTTAATATCTTACTGTATCTTTGTGAGCATACGATTTGCATAGTATTTTTTAATATGCCAATCTTTAAAAAGGCAGAGTATGTCCTTTCTACATTCCTAGTACAGTTCTCCCATTGTGGGGGGGGAAAGCTCATTTGTAGACCTTCTCTCCTCCAGAATCTCTTTTGTGATGAAGCTATTTGGCACCTGGCTTTTGCTTCTAAATCTTTAAATGCAAATACTATAAGGTAGCTATTTAGTTGTTCTGTTAATAGCACATGAATGTGTGATTACATACCTGTGATAAGCCAAAGAAACCACCAGAATCAAGAAGTAGTAAGCCTGTAGTTTTCACTCACCTGTTGACAACATCCTCCTGTCTCCTTTGGATCCAACCACCTCTCCATTGATGCTGTTAGGGTTTGAAGATACTGAATTGTCTTCCTGACTAGCCAAATACTGTTTGGTTTGCTCACACAGCAAAAAATTGTTCTTTTTATTTCCATTCTCTGGGCTTTTCAACCGGAAATTAGGGTGGTTAGCATGTGCTCCAGGACTTCTTAAAGAATCACATGGTGGAAGCTTGTTTTCATTTTTTTCAAAATTAAATGGCTCTGTCATTTTACAAGTAGATGCCTCCAAATTATTTCTTGACACCATATTATGTGGCAATTTAACATTCAAAGAAGTCTATGGAAAGAAGTGTATTTAGAAGGCAATTTTTAATTACAAAAATAGAAGTATTGCAGGCCCAGGTGATTTCTTTTTATTAACAAGTAATGCTCATGAATAATTCCAAAGCAGAGTTAACCATGATACCACAGCCTGGCCTAAAGGCACAAGAAACAGAAAGATTCTCTATCTGTAAGTACAAACTCCCAAGTTTCACACAATTCAACCACAGACAAAAGACTAACTCAAGAGACATCAAAAGAGTAATCTCAGAATGCGACACCATTTTTTACTTTACAAAGCTTTTGAAACAACAGAATAAAAAAGGACTTTCATGTTTTAAAAAGAAATATTTCCAACCCAGAGCATGCAACTTAATGGTGAAATACAATAGAGGGTATTGTCTTAATCAGGTCATCACTTACCTTTCTAGCCCCTCAGAATCCCTCTACCCGCTCCTACTTTAGACACTAGGCTCCTGAATATGCTAAACCCAGCTCGCAATGCCCTCTCTCTTCCTCACTGGCCTGGCAAAGTCCTTCCCTCCCAGTCATCCTTCACGGTTTGCCTCAGCTGACCTCTGTTTGCTCTGTTTTTCCCAAGTCCTCTGCTTTGATAATCTCCAGCTGAGCTTCTATAAATTGTACCTTGTATCTACTGTTTTTTAGGACTTAACTGCATGCACTTTTCTGTGAAAATAAGGTACATGTATTGTTACAAAGTGCCTCTGAGAAACCTCTATCCAGACTTTATGCTAGCTTGTTGTTTTCCTATTACTCTTAAAGAATACTAAGTGTCCTGCCCAAGGGAAGTAATAAAAGTGGACAAACAACTTTTCTTCCTGAGGTTGTGACCTACAGCTTTGTCTGCTAACCGCAGGTAAAATTGCCTATTGTCCCAAAACTGCTCAGGGGAAAAAAAAAAAAGCCACAGAAAGCTAAACTGGTATGAGTAGTATCTAAATATTGTTTAACATTGTTTTAAAGGGAAGATAAAGAAATAGCAGAAACATCCTCCCTCCTGGTGTCCTAAAAGTTCCATATCATTTGCCTAATCCATGACAATACAGAAAAGATAACGAAATTAAAAAAAAAAGAAAGAAAGAAATACACAGGCACACTCGAAGAGGGAAACTCTATAGGCCAGATCCTGGGAAGATCCCTAATTGAAGGCTGCAGATGGGCAGTTACAATGGGAGATCCTGCAGCTGCCAGGGAAAGCACACACATGGCAGTAAGCACACCCCCACACACACAAGGATCAGATCCAGTGAGAAGGAGAATGTTGGGTGCAGTAAGAGACAAATACTATGAAGTTACAAATGGAAAATAACTTCCAGGGGAAACTGGGTTAGAAATACTGAGTAACTCCAATGTATAAGGAATATAAAGAATGCACATTAAAATATTAGGGTAACTATCAGAAGAACAAAAACAATGCATAATTTTAAAATTACAGAAGAAAAAATCTGTCTAACAGGAAAAAAAATGATTGAGCATGGTCAATGGAAAACATCAAATAAGATGACAGAACGAAACCCAAGTAATCCAATTATCAATGATTTAGTCTCAGTTAAAAGAAAAAGAGGGAGAAAAACATCCAGCTAGGTGTTATGCACAAGAGGCACACATAAAACAAAATTATATGGCAAGTCTGGAAATAATAGAACTAAAACATGTGCTATGCAAATAACCAAAAAAAAAAATGGAATACAAATATTAATAGCCGATAAAAGAGAACTCAATTTTTTATGTGGATGAAAGAAACACTGGAAGAGAGCGATCAGCCAAGAATCAGTGAATCACAATGTCCCTAGATCTATAAAACAAACACTGATTAAAGGAGAAATTGAGGCCACAATAAGGACACACCTGCCTTACACACTTGTCAACAGAGAGAAAACAAGTGATATTTTAGTACCATGATAAACTTGATCTAGTAAGGACCAACACAATCAAGAGCATTCATTTTTCCAACACTGGGCATATTGGACTAGAAAAGCCACCTCAACTAACTCCAAAAACACTAAAGCCATGCAAAAACACGTTCACCACAGTATACAAATCTCCATCTCAAGTTTTGCTTCCTAGAGAATCAGCCTACAACAACCACACGAGCAGGTGAAGGGTTTTGTTTTTGCTCTTAAAAGTGGTAAAATATCACAAAGGAACTAGCAAACATGACTATATGAAACAAAAGATTACAAAAAATAGCAAAGAAGCCATAAAATAAAGATTAACACAAAGATGGAAAATTCAATATCAAAATTTTAAAAATGTGGGATAAACAGTAAAAACATTCAGATAGTGTAGCAGACAATGTAACGGACCCAAAGGCCATCTTCTACCTCTGATTTGCCAGCTTGAGTTAGAGACAATACTGGCCATAATCATTCTTCTGAGCAGAATTTCTCAGAAAGCTCTGTCCTTTCCTGATGAACAGGAACAGACTTGGCTGCAGGATCCTTCACCCCTTTCTTCCTGTAACGTAATCAGGAAGCAATAAGCAAAAAGGAAGAGAGCACACCCTAAGGATGGTAGAGCGGAAAAGTGAAAGCATCTGATGTCTCTGGCGGTATCCTTGAGTAGGAACACCAGCCCTGATCTTCCTATGCTTAGATTCACTGTGGCATCAAATTAACCCAGGCGTTTTCTGTTATTTGCAGCCCAATTGATACAGATACCAATAAAATGTGAGCAAAAGGCATGAACAGAATGCATAGAAGATGAAGATTAGTTGATAAACATAAGGGGGGAAACCTTCAACCTCATTTGTAATAGAAAAATCAAATTAAATAATTATGTATTATATTCTGCCCAGTGTGGGTGTGATTAAAAAGGACACTCACTATTGGGCCTCTGGGTGGCAAAGTCGGTTAAACGACAAACTCTTGATTTCAGCTCAGGTCATGATTTCAAGTTTGTGAGATTGAGCCCTGCATTGGGCTCTGTGCTCAGTGCAGAGTGCTTGAGATTCTCTCTCTCTACCCCTCCCTCCACCTACTCACAGGAAGAGGTGCTTGCTCGAAGGCTCTCTCTCTCTTCAGCTCAGGTCATGATCCCAGGGTCCTGAGATCCAGCCCCCAGGTCTGGCTCCCTGCTGAGCAGGGAACCTGCTTCTCCCTCTCCCTCTGTCCCTCCCCCCTGCTCATGCTCTCTCTCCCTCTCTCTCTCAAAATCTTAAAAATAAAATCTTTGGAAAATAAAATGGACACTCATTGCATTGAATATAAATTAGTATGTTCTTATAGGGAGACAATTTGGATATACATACATATACACACCTGCATGTATGTATGTCTATAAATATGTATTTTTTAAAGATTTTATTTATTTTTCAACAGAGAGACAGTGAGAGAGGGAGAAGCAGGCTTCCTGCTGAACAGGGAGCCCAATGCAGGGCTCGATCCCAGGACCCGGGGATCATGACCTGAGGTGAAGGCAGACACTTAACGACTGAGCCACACAAGCGCCCCTATAAATATATATTCTTAAGGTATATATGTATTTTTTCTTTTCCTTCAATATATATTTATTTTAGAGAGAGAGAGACTCTCAAGTAGACTCCATGCTGAGCAGGGAGTTTGACAAGGGGCTTGATCTCATGACCTGAGCTGCAACCAAGAGTTGGACACTTAACCAACTGTGCCACCCAGGCACTCCAGGTATACATGTATTCTTAAAAGTGTTCTAGCCATTCAGCTGGTAACTCTATGCCTAGAAATCATCCCATTAAAATAATCCTAAGCATTGGGGTGCCTAAGTGGCTCAGTCAGTTAAGCGTCCAACTCTTGATTTCGGCTCAGGTCATGATCTCAGTGTTGTGAGATCAAGCCATGTGTCAGCTCCATGCTGGGCATGAAGCCTGCTTAAGATTCTCTCCCTGTCCCTCTGTCCCTCTGCCCCTGCACCCACTCCTTCTCTCCCCTCTCAAATAATAATAATAATCCTGAACATCAAAAAAGCCTATTTAAAATAGTGAAAAAAAATTAGAGAAAAAAATTAACTGTGATACCTCTACTAGACAGAATATTAACACTACCATTTAGAATCCTAGTTTTCAAAAACATCGTAAAATGTTGTAAGAATAGCAAATGAAAATCAGAAACACTGTATAATAACTGCAAAAAAAAAAAATAACCCCTCCATGTAAGCAAGATCAATGACATACATTAAATTTTAAAAGAGTGTTATGGGGAAGTAGGTTGACAAAAGCAATTTTTACAGTCTTTTTCATTTTCAAATTATGTTTTTTTTTTTTAAGATTTGACAGAGAGCACATGCACGAGTGTGCAAACACAAGCGGGGGAGAGGGTGAGGGAGAGGGAGAAGCAGGTTCCCCACTGAGCAGGGAGCAGATGCGGGGCTCGATCCCAGGACCCTGAGATCATGACCTGAGCAGAAGGCAGACGCTTAACCAACCCAGGTACCCCTCAAATTATGCTTAAAAATGAATTACTTTAATAGAAAAAAGCATTTTAAAGATTAAAATATTAATATTGCATTTAAATTAGGCCTATTTTTCCTCGTGTGGCTAATTCTAAATCAAGTAAAGGATCAATATTTAAACCACAAAACTAGGATATAGTCCTTTTCTCAAGACACCAGTGGGACCCTCAATACACAACAGGTAACTCCTGAAATAGCCTTTCCTCTGTCCTTATTTGGTAGGGCTGACAGTCAATCCACAATCAGCTCCTTTCTATCCTGTAGCACAGTTAGCTATAGACAGTTATGTCTGTGTTCTGGATTATTTTAAGTACCTTGAGTGCAGAAACCAGGTTTTATTAGAAACATTAACAAGGGCGCCTGGGTGGCTCAGTTGGTTAAGCGACTGCCTTCGGCTCAGGTCATGATCCTGGAGTCCCGGGATCGAGTCCCGCATCGGGCTCCCTGCTCAGCAGGGAGTCTGCTCCTCCCTCTGACCTTCCTCCTTCTCATGCTCTCTCTCATTCTCTCTCTCTCAAATAAATAAAACCTTTAAAAAAAAAAAAACATTTAAAAAAAAAAAAGAAACATTAACAAAAAAAATACCCTGATTTCTCATGGCACCTACCATGTTTTGTACAATGAGGCATTCAAAAGATAATTGTATGACAAAATAATTAAAATGTACTATTGCACTGTTTTCATGACAATCTGGACAGTGAAAATGAAATTCACTGTCTGAAATTACATGTGGCAGTCTTAAATGGAGAATTACATCACGTTATGAGGGTTTCTGAAATTTAATAGCAAAACTTCAAGTCTTATATCCACTCTTCCAAAGTCCAAAAATTAGTAAATAAATTTGACTTCAGAAAAAACAAGTCTTAGAAGTTTAAGCAGCAATTAAAAAGGATTTAAGCTTAAAAAGAGCTCCACCTAGAGTGGAATATGTAGGTTAGAAAGACACCTCACTTGCCTCACCCTATTCAGGAATTTTCATTACAATGCCCAGGGCAAATAGATGTGTAGGCCTGTTTTATAACTAGAAGCTTCTAACTTCTTTAATTTTGGACAGCCAACTGTACTGCACTCTTCTTTATGAAATGGTTCACTTCCCAACTGACGGACTCCTGTTGCTGTTTCCATAACCTTTCAAATACCTGAGATGTCTACCATATCCACTTTCCTCCAGGTCCTTCACCAGTTGATGTAACACCTTCCAGGGTCCTCACAAGTCTGGACTTTCTCTAGTTCATCAGAAACCCTCACATAGACATCCTTCTCCTAACTGAGCACAGGACTAAAGATGAGAGCCAACAGCCAGTCAGCAGAATCATCATACTACCCCTTACTTTGAAAACTACCTACTTAAAATTATGCACTAGCTTTTGGAGTAGCAACCAGGACTACTGTGAGTACACATAAAACTTGCAGTTACCTAACATCTTTTGGAATTTAATTTTTTAAAAAAATGTGTTTATCATATAAAGATTGCCTTTTTTCTTTTGATTTACAGTCCTATGAATTCTAACCCATGTATTTCAACGTTAAAAAACAGCCGTAAGAAAACTGCAATTATCCCTACTTGGCTTCATCCTGTGTCAACCACTGGGCGTATCTGAATCTGGAGTGGACAGACACTATTCCATAATGCTGTGCTTCCCAACCTTGGGCTGCTGACTTCTGGTATTCAGGTACAGGTGTGTTACAGACATCGCTCCAAGGGTCATGATACCTCATGGGCTAATCTTACCCAGTTTTAAAACAAGCAGTTTCCCCTATATACAATCTACTGTTTTTTTACATGCTACTGGTGACGAATAAAAATGTATTTATAGGGGCGCCTGGGTGGCTCAGTCGTTGGGCGTCTGCCTTTGGCTCAGGTCATGATCCCAGGGTTCTGAGAGCAAGCCCCGCATCGGGCTCCCTGCTCGGTGGGGAGCCTGCTTCTCCCTCTCCCACTCCCTGTTTGTGTTCCTTCTCTTGCTGTGTCTCTCTGTCAAATAAAATCTTTAAAAAAAAAATGTATTTATAATCATCCCCAAATCCAAATTAGTTATATATTTCCTTAACACAAGAGGTTAATTAGGAGGGTCCCCAAATTCCTTCATGTTAAAGGGATCACTGATGTAATAAAAGACCAGTGGAATGGAAGTAACTGCTATAGTTCTACAGGCAAACAGAAGGCCTTGGCTTTGTATTGTCCTTTTGTTCTGTGCTTCATGATCTGACACTAATAAAATGTGAAGCTCCCGAAGGGGCAAACCCTTTCTTGCACTCTCTTGGAATCCTGTTGCCCCTCCACCATCTGGCCAAGAGCATCCCACAATACACCTGCAACCAGTGACTGTAAGCCCTCTCCTTCCTTCTCAGAAGAATAGAAGCTAGAGTAAAATTAATTCTTAGCACAGTGAATTAATTCCTTTAATACCAAAAGTACTTGCAGCAGATACATAGCTATAATTTTCTTTTTCTTCTCTAATGTTTGCTTTTGTTTTCCTGGTAACCACACACATTCAGAAAGAATGGCTACTCAAAGGAAACATTCAGTTTTTTGGGTTTTTTTTTTTTAAATTTAATTTTATTTAAATTCAATTAATTAACATATAGTGTATTATTAGTTTCAGAGATAGAGCTTAGTGATTCATCAGTTGTATATAACACCCAGTGCTCATTATATCACGTGCCCTCCTTAATGCCCATCACCCAGTTATCCTATCCCTCTAACCTCCTCTCCTCCCGGAACCCTCAGTTTGTTTCCTATGGTTAAGAGTCTCTTATGGTTTGTCTCCCTCCCTGATTTTGTATTATTTTTCCCTCCCTTCTCCTATGCTCCTGTTTTGTTTCTTAAATTCCACATGAGGGAAATCATAATTGTCTTTCTCTGCTTGACTTATTTCACTGAGCATAATACCCTCTAGTTCCATCCACATCATTGCAAATGGCAAGATTTTTTTGATGGCTGAGTAATAGTCCATTGCATACATATACATTTTCTTTATCCATTCATCTGTCGATGGACATCCGGACTCTTTCCATAGTTTGGCTATTGTGGACATTGCTGCAAACCAAAGAGATAAAGGATCTGTACTCTGGAAACTATAGAATATTCATGAAAGAAACTGAGGAAGACACAAAGAAATGGGAAAACGTTCCATGCTCATGGATTGGAAAAACAAATATTGTTAAAATGTCTATGCTACCCAGAGCAATCTATACATTCATTGCAATCCCTATCAAAATACCATCAACATTTTTCACAGAACTGGAACAAATAATCCTAAAATTTGTATGGAACCAGAAAAGACTCCAAAGAACCAAAGGAATGTTGAAAAAGAAAACCAAAGCTGGAGGCATCACAATCCCAGACTTCAAGCTCTATTAAAAAGCTTTAATCATCAAAACAGTATGGTACTGGCACAAAAACAGACACATTGATCAATGGAACAGAACGGAAAACCCAGAAATGGACCTCAGCTATATGGTCAACTAATCTTTAGCAGAGGAAAGAATATCCGATGGAAAAAAGACAGTCTCTTCAAATGGTGTTGGGAAAATTGGACAGCCACACGTAGAATGCAACTGGACCATTTTCTTATACCACACACAAAAATAAACTCAAAATGGATGAAAGACCTAAATGTGAGACAGGAATCTATCAAAATCCTAGAGGAGAACACAGGCAGCAACCTCTTTGACCTTGACAGCAGCAACTTCTTAGGAGACATGTCTCCAAAGGCAAGAGAAACAAAAGCAAAAATCAACTTTGGGACTTCAAGATAAAAATCTTTTGCACAGCAAAGGAAACAGTTGACAAAACCAAAAGACAACTGACAGAATGGGAGAAGATATTTGCAAATGACATATCAGATAAAGGGCTAGAATCCAAAAATCTATAAAGAACTTATCAAACTCAACACCCAAGGAAACATTCAGTTTTAAAGCTATGGAACTCAATGGTTCAGCAGAACATGAGCTTTAAAGTGGGTCAGACCCAAATCTGAGCAGAGTCTCATCTTCCTCATTTAGCTATGCTATCTCAGGCAAAATCACTTCATCTTTCTTGGATTCAGTTTCTGTAAAATGTTGCCAATCTTAGTAACTTCCTCATAACTCTGAACTGTGATGATTAAATTCAAGAATGTATGTAAACTACTTAGCGCAGTGACCGGTGCTTACTAAGTTCTTCGGAGGCAGCTATTAAACTTTACTTTTAAACCACAAAGAATTTCTTCCTTTCATGTGTAACTACTTTGCACACTGAAATAATCTGAGGATTAAAGCATTCTTACTTCCTTTATTCCTCCAGGTAAGTAAGGGAGACCGGAGCAGATGAAGTAACTTGCCAACCCCCTCAGCGCAAGGGCCCTTACACAGCTGAGCTGAACATCCAGGTCCGATTCCTAGGCCATGCCACTTCCCATTCAATACCCTGAGGGCTCAACAAGGGAACTAGAAGCAGCTTCTCCTACTCTAGAGGCCAACAGGGCCAACGTATTTATATCCGGGACCCAAGTGCCAAGAAATGCGATTGGCACACAGCAGACACGCTACAAACATGCAACGTGAACCAGAGCCGGTTTACCCGTACCTAGCCAAAGCCATGGTGCATCCACCTTTCCTACAGAAGGTAGGAAGTGTTAGTGTTGTTTGCACTGCAGCTTTGAGTTAAACAAAAGCACTGACTGAATCCATAAACTAGATTCTTTCAGAGACAAGAGCAAAGAGCTCCTCTATCGGGATGCCAGCGGACGTTCACATTTCGGAGAGTCGTGCCTGGAAGTACTATTTTCCAAACCTACTACAGGGCCCCCCTTTACCCAGGGGCTCAATTCTCACTTCCCTTGCCCCTCCTCCACCACAACCTTCAACCCTAGACCTGCCCTTCCCCAGCCAAGGCTCCAAGGGCTCCTCCACCCTTCCATCCTCTCTCCACTTCCAGGCCCCCGGTGCCCGCTCAACGCCCGACCTCAACGTCCAGCGCCCAACGTCCGGTCGCCAACGACTGAAGCCCCGCAGCCCTCACGCAGTCCCTTTCGCTCCCTGCCACGTGCCTGGGAACCCTGACCTGGTAAGAGGCAAAAGGGCCGCTGACCCCGAGCCGTCTCTGAAGGCTGGCCGTGGTGGCGTCCACTGGTGCCCGGCAGCCTCGCCGCCCAGACGCGCTCTCCGCGTTCACCTCACCTCCAATGGCTAGCTCTGTGCCAGCGCGGCGCCTGCGCAGTCCGCTCCCACGTGCACCCTGCGACGCCCACGCACATCCTCCGCGCGCTGCCTAAGCCGCGCTGTGCCCCAGGGGCGGGGGGCGTCGCTGTGCGCCAGGGTTCCGTGCTTGCAAAGTTTCTCCGCCGAGACTGTATAGTTATTCCAGCTGCTTCTAGCAATGTAGCCCTGAGACCTCGGATGGAGTTCGAGCTCAAAGATGCAGACGGTATCTCGGTAATGGTCACTTCGGTCGCATTAACCGCTTAAAGTCTTAAAAGGTTTTTCAAATTAATCCGCTAACTCTGCCTGAAAAGTAAATACAGGTGATCACTTTTTCCCTGACTAAGCACACCTGGTTATATGTTGGTGCCGCTCAAATATTTCTAAACCTTTTTTGGGAGGGGACTAGGGACCTTTCAAACAAATTCGGGAGAAAAATGGTACCCCCATGTATTTATCAACTAGTTTCAACGTTGTCAACTCACGGTCAGTCTTGTCTGCATCCGTACCCCCCACACACTTCTCCCATTGTTTGGAAGCAAATTCTGACTTGAATCTTTTTTTCTTTGTAATAGGTTTTTTTTAGAACAGTTTTAGATAAAAATTGAGAATTGAGAAGATAGTACAAAGTTTCCCAGATTAACCATACCCAGTTTCCTGTATTATCCATATTACATTAGTAGGGTACATTAACTACAATTAAGGAACCAATATTGATACATTATTACCGAAGTCCAGAGTTTATCTAGATTTCCGCAGTTTTTACCTATTGTCCTTTCTCTGAGCCAGAATTCCATTCAGGATACCACATTATTACATTTAGTTGTCATGTCTTCTTAGGCTTTTCTTGGCTGTGGCAGTTTTTCAGACTTTCCCTGTTTTGGTGATCTTGATAGATTCCAGGAGTACTGGTCAGGCATTTTGTAAGATGCCCCACTGTTGGAGTTTGATGTTTTTCTAATGATAAGACTGGAGTTAAGGGTTTTGGGAAGGAAGGCTATAGAGGTAAAGTGCCATTTACACAGCACCGTATCAAGTGTACATCCTGTGAAAATGATTCATGACAGTTGACATTTTCAACCTGTAGGGAGCAGGATGGTGTCACTCGTGTCAAGTAGTGATATAATCAGAAAAGAAGCCAAGGATATTGCAGCTAAGACCAAATATCACCAAAACCAGTATAGACTGGGAGTACCAAGGACTATAACCTGTAAGGCCTAGAAGAACTAGGAGCTGATAATCACTAGAGACAAAAGAGGCCTGCAAAGGCACAAGACTGATTAAACTCTTGTAAAAAGAGGATTTCTACAGCAAACTGCCAGACTCTCTAGACACTGACCCTTCCTCATCTGACCACATTAAAAGGCAACTGCTGT